ATGACAGGCGATTTTAATAGAATCTACCAGACTTGCGCCAAAGGACGCAAAGAGGGCGCGGAACAGCGGCCAACTCAAGTGAATTACGGGCGCAGCAATATTAATGCTTGGCCTATGACATCTCTTTGCCGTCATCGAATTGTCGAGCCAACCGGCCGCAGGCATGTTATGAATATGTTAGTTATTCAATTGTCATCAATTAAATATAGACTTCAATTGAAATAAGCATTTGGAAATGTGCACTTTTAATTTTGTACAGCAAGTAAATCTGTATTGATTGAAGACAAGGACAAATTTGGCTGAACAGACATGATTCGGTTTTGAGTTTCGGGCTTTTCTTCTTATATAAGAATTGATGAAAAAGGTGGACTTCGAACTCTTATCTTTTCTTTTGCAAAGCCGCATGTGAGAAGTCATCAACACTTATCCTAACTCGCAACATAGCCTCACATAATCGCTTGGCGTAAGGACATTCAACAGAAAATGGCATCAAAGCAACATTGAAAAACGTTTTAGATCTATTTGACATTGAAATAACTTTAGTTCTATAAACTACCAGACACTAGTTAGTCTACCATAAAAATTCTCTTCTCATTCGAAAAATTTGCTTAAATCGTGCCATCTTATTCCTACCTGATCTGTCCAGAATGAATACATCAGCATCGTTAGAAAAGCTTGCTTCCTTTTGCAAGTCGCTGCGCGACTCGGAGTTGCGTACCCTGGCGCTGCTTGGTTGTCCCATGAAGATACGTAAATCGCGACACTTTTTTCAGCTTGAGGTCACTGTGCGCGGACATGTTGATAATGAACTGCCGCCGGATTCGCGCATTAGTTGCAAGATGGTGTTCATGTGTCCCAAATTCTATCCTCGCAGCTTGCCCGAAGTGCACATCAGATCAAAAAAGAACTTTCCCGACTATTTGGAGAGTGTGATCTATTCGGAATATGAGCGTGTCACGCATCTATATCGCGGCTCACAATATATAATACCCATGGTGAGCAGTGCCTTATATATGATCGAACGGGAAGAGCGGAAGTTTGTGCATGCCATTGGGTCGGTGGGCAAGTACAATATAAACAAGCTTAAGAGCTATAATTTGACCTTGGTCTAGTTTTTCAGATGAGTCAAGAAATTTGTAAGCCCTCTAGGGTTGCACAGCGACTTGTTTAATAGAATGCGTTTATAATAGACTTGAGTCAACTAGAAGTGTTTTTATTTTCTTTCCTAAAATTAATCATACGTGTGACGTGTAACGTTGGACACTTGGGATTGAGAACAATACTCATCGAGGTTGCAACAATTTTATTTCTTAAAAAATTTACCATAAATGCAAATTTAAATTCTCGACAAGTGAAAGCTGAGAAATATAGTAAGTGTCGTACGCACTATCATAACAAAAATTATATACAAGATTAATCATTTATACAATTTAAAAAATATATGTTTATAATTTACAATTATATACCTGCTGGAATTTTTATTAATAAATAAATATATATATGTATCTATATACATATATATATAAATATATATATATTAAATTGTAATACCCTACAATAGTTATACACTTCTATTCAAATATGTCAGACTAATTTGCCAGTTTCTTTTGCCAATTAGAAAATTTAGAAAAAATTCATAATGTCTTACAAATGGGAATCAGCTGGAATTTGATTGTTATTGCATAAGTTAACTTTAAGCAAAACCCATTTTAGGTACGTGCCCTAAATAACATGAAAATCGCTGCAACCTCGGGGAATCCCATATAAAACAAGAGCAGTGCATAAAATGAACTATAAAAAATATGAGTATGGGCATTACAGTGAGTGCCGAAAGCATACATATATCCTATTTATGATTCAAGCAAACCGACTGCAACTTTTACAATCCACAGACACTCACACACACACACACACATATAGAGCACACGTGAAATGCGTGTAAAAATTTCAACACGCTTACACAAAAATTGCCAATTAAGCGCATTTATGACTGCAACGCGAGAAAATATGTGTGGCATGCAACTAGGCGCTGGACTTGGGCCGAAAGCGGAGCGCATCCAGAACCATCCAGCGTCTGTTGGGAGGGGGCCATAAACATTTTTAATGTGGAGACGTGTGCACTCGTCCCGGACATTGCCGCACCGGATTATTAAGAAACAATGAAGCAAGGCGCGCGAGACGCCTGCAAGTATGCAATAAAAGTGGACACATAATGCCACGTTTATGGTGCAAGTTAAAACCGGAAACTAAATAGTTGACACCGCGCAAAATGAAGCCCAGACATTGCCAGAGGCTTAACTTTCACCGACCAGTGTCAGTGCCAACGTCACGTTGCGTTGCCCTCCATCCCTGGCTGCGCCGTTTATTTGGGTTTGAGGGAGAACCCTGCGAGCTAGTGACAACCCCCCATAAAGTGCACAAATGACAACATAATTTGTAATTCGAATTTGTTTCGTGTTCGAGCATAAGCAATGAGCTCGAGACTCCGGCAGACAGTAGTCATTCTGGCCACCGCCAGATGGCCCTTTGATGGTCAGGCTGACCCATCAAAAATTCAATTCGCGTTGAGATTTCAAATATTTCTTCATATGACATTGTGCTTCCTTAACATGCTAAATAACTTTTTGTGTTTTTTGTATTTAATTTAATTTTTTTTTTTCAGATAAAAATTAATTTTGCGTGTCAAAAATGTAAAAAGCAAACTTGGGATAATTGGATTTTAGTAGAAAGAAATGCAAAAGCGCGAAAACATTGCGTTATTTACATACAATATTATTAAAAAACAAAATCATCTTATAGCTATATAAACATGCAATTGGCTACTAAAGTAAAATAGGTAAAAAGAGTTTAACAACAATTTCAAATTAACCACTGTTTTCTTTTGTTGCTTTACTTGTGCTTAATGCCAAATGAATGGCATTTCATTTCACTTTAAGCGAGCGACAATCACGTGCAAATTAATTTCTATATTGCAAGGCACAATAGACATATTTGCCTTCCAGTTACCGGGTCCACGGTGTAAAGGAGGGCAGTTGCATTACAAATAATTAAAAAGTGGTCGGGCACAGGTCGTGGTTAATTTTACGAGCTGAGGCAGCTGTCAGCCAAGGGTTAAGGCGGCACGACAACGACAACGACAACGACGACGACGACTTAAAGAGCAGCCAGGACTATTCGGGAGCAGTTGGGACCAGTCAGGACAGAGCATACTTTGGTCTTAGCTGATTTATGCGCTTATCACGCAAGCGTCGCCGTTTTTATGGCCTGTCTCCGGCGGGAAGTTGTCTGCCTGGCGTCGTTTAGTTACCGACCATAAATGTCCTGAATGTCCTGCCGCATTGGCGACGCACACAAATTTGCCATTTTAATGCCACGACCAGCTCCACGAGCGCTTTTCAATTTTGCAATACCTGGCTACGGCTTAGCCACCACCATCCAGCTCGACGTCCTGCGCCGTGACAGTTTTTCATTACGCACAAATCCTTCGGGCATACAGTCGCCAATGTCGTCACAGCCGCATTAAAGATTGAATGCCATTGAAATATTCCGAAATGTTTGCGGTTGACTTACAGGATGCCAAAAAAATAAAGAAACTTTTACCAGTTGTTAGGTAAACCAACAAAATGGGTGGAGGAATAATTGTAAAACATTCTATACCAAAAGTAAGAGCTGAAAGTATATGGGATCGAAGTTGCATAACTATACGTATAGGAATTAAACATATTTTTTTTGCAGGCGTGTCTACAAGTTTACTTGCACATTGTCCCTGAGAACCAGAACAAAGCCTGTAATTGCAACCAGAATTATGTATTTCTAGAACTGTGTTTGGATTTATGAATTTAATTATAATTGTAAAAAAATTACCCTTCGGAATCTGTCTTCATACATATACAATTATGAATCTTCATTTTCAAGTTAATCTCTTTCGACTTTAAATAATAATTTATACTAAAGCTTAAAATCTTAGACCCCAAAACTTGCTAGGTTATTTCCAATAAAATGTTTTTATTGAGATACGCCAATCACTGCATAAATTAAAATCGTCAGCTAACAAAAAAAGAGGTATGATCCAACTTTTGTCAAGGTATTCGAAACCCTTTCGGCTATTTGCTTGTTAAATTTATAGAAAAGAGCATAACGAGTCTATTGCCTACTTGGAGCATAAGTATCTATCCCTTACCGTTTTCTTATCGAAATGTCTATTGACTTTAAGCTGAGCACACTCGTCCTTATGCTTGTGCATGCATGTCCTGTGTGAGTTGCTCGTTTTTTGCAATTTGGCCCTAAAAACTCTTTGAAAGTGACATTATGCAAGTTGTGAGCAACAACTGCAGCTATCTAAATTACCCAGAGACATCCGGCATTGGGTTGCAAAAGGTCTTTGACGCCGCCGCCAACGATGCAGCACGCTTAAGGATAAACAGGATGCGCCCAAGGAAGCTACTGCTGCTGCTGCTGCATCTTCTGCGAATGTCTTTGCCATTTTTTGACTAGCAATTTCATTCTCACTGCTGTCGCGGCGCCAGCGGAAGGAAGTGTATCAAGGATGTGTGTGTGCTTGTGCTAAGGACTAAACACTGTTAAAGCCCTCGCTTAGATAACTATGGCAAGTGCCTTGGCATGCGCATAAAGGATAAGTTAATGCAATGCCCAATGCCTGCACAGGGCCGTCAATTAATGATCAGTCGTCCTGGCGCGTCTGTCGACCGGCACGTGTTAACATTTGGCCAAGTGTTGCATACTTCAGGGCGCCGGACAAGTGGCGCTCTGCCAATGGCAGAGAAGTCACGTAGCCTGCGTGAGTTACGGGCCCAGGCCCTGGCAAAGTATTCCACGGCAAACATGTTTGTGCACGTACATCCAAGTTGATGCCCAGACAACAGACAACAAGGACCCAACCACGCATACCACACACACCTATTGCCGGCAATAGTTACAGTTGGGACAGCAAAAGACACTCAACATTTACGAGCCCCGCCCAATGGAAAGAAGGAAGCAAATCCGAGCGCTGCTTTAATGGTGCCTCAATTCGTTGTTCAGCAGCATCTGTACCCGTGTCACCACCGGCACAATCATGTACAGGCCCAGGTGCTGCTCCAGCGCCACAGCGATCTCCTCGCGCAGTTTTTTATCCAGCTCCCGGTTAACATTGCGCTTCTCGACCATCTCAACGATTGGCAACTGGAGCGGATAGTTGGCCGGACAGGTGAAGATCAGCTGCAGCGCAATGCCCTCGGTTTCGCCATCCAAGTAATTGCAGGTGCTCAGCGGCACCTTGAGGCGCAGTTGCGGGCTACGGCACAGCACCATATAGGGCAGTCCCAGGTAGTGCAGGGTTAACACCTCGTTACTCTGCAGATTTTTATTAAATCTGGCAACGCTCTCGAGTTTGTCTTTGCGCTCCGCTTCCTCACACTCAGACATTTTGTGCTAATTTCCTTTTATTTATTTTTGGATAATTTTGTACAATTTTTTCTGTTTTCTTTTTTATTTTTATTTTCCCGGAACTTGTTTGAAATGTGAAGCTAGGCTAGGGGAAAACCGCTAACAGGCAGAAAATACTTCACAAGTTCAAATTTGCACCAAAAAAAAAAAACTAGCTCAGCATAAAACTAAGCAACTTTGTTCGAAAAACTAATGGTATATCTGCACTTCGAATACCCTGCCTAAGTTTTAAAGTCACAATCGATAACAGCTCTTCAAAATTCATTAAATCTTATTAGCACATATTTTGTTCTGAGCAAATTTTGTATCAATAGGGCTGGTGTTGACCATTAAAGACATTTTAAATGAATATTTTTTAAGTTTTTAATTTATTTTGTGACTACACACTACAGACACATCTGATTGATGGCAGCATGCCAAGATAGTTGCCATTTCTTCTTTTGTGGCGTCCCCTTGGAAACGGAATTAGGCTGCTGGCTTGTCAGTAGATCCCTTAGGTGGTGCAGCGTAAGCATCAGCTGAGAGCGCCACTCCAAGTACGATCAGGCAAATTAGTGAGAGCTTCATGTTTATGCTTTGAATTTGGTTTTAAACTGTAAACGATTCCCAGCGAAGCTCGGCTTTTATAGCTGTAATTTCAAAGTGTGGCAAATGGAATTGGCAAAACATATTCAATATTCAACCATGCAGTTGTTACCAACTTTGGATCATTTGTCATGCCGTTGGATTATTACGTTTGTTAATAATGTTACCTGGTAATAATTCTAATTTGCATGCTACAAATCCGCATCTATTGCATAAGTGAAATCAAGTGACGCATTAATGTGTAATCCTTGCCTAAATTCAGCTCTGCGCTGCCGTATCCGTATTCAGCTAATTCAGAAATGTCGTTTTTTGAGAATTTTACCTATTTTCAGTCAAAGCATATCAATTGAAATAGTTTTCATCAGTTAAATTCCAAGTGTGTGTATATGTACTTTAGCCTGGTAGCACTGGAAATTATTCATGCCTAAAGTCCTGACGAGTTTTCAATAGAATATAGCTTAAGATTAATATAATTTCTTAAAATAGTATTTGCAAGTCAAGGCACAGGCAGGATAAAGTCAACAGGACTTCGGCTCAAGAGCACTTCAAATATATTTGTATATATACATATTTGGTTTGTTTGATTTGATTATCGTAGATTTGTGTGCCCCGCTTTCATTTCACTCGTTATGCAAATTAGCTGTGTGATTATCGCGCAAATTGGCAAACTCGAGAGCAAGAAACACCAGCAAACTCCGCAACCTTCAATTCCCATAGCCGCTGCCATCCTCAGTGGCCCAACCACTTTCTAGTTTTTGTTGTGGTGCGGCTCAGACGTGCGTGAGCTGCCCCGTGTTAGATCTTTGGCACGCATATGAGCTACATTCGTATTAGTGGTAAAATTTGCATTTTAAAGCAGTTTGTGCCACGTGAGATGCTTGTGTGTGCCCCGTGTGCCCTGCGTCTCAATTTTCACTTTGATTTCACGCACTGACGCGCCAGCAACTAATGAGACACATAGACACATAGAGAGAGAGAGAGAGAGACAGGGAGGGAGAAAGAATTGTAAACAGAAAACATTGCAGAAAAATTGCAGCCGCATTCAGTTATGAGTTGCAAAGATTCATCTTCATTCATGCGGGCTGTCAATCAAATTTCAATCAACTCTTTGGGTCTCAAGCTGCCCTCAATCTTGATTATTATGAGTGCCTGTCGAAGGGCGGACCAGCGGGCAGGGGCCACATTTGACACATTGCGCATACGTCACATGGGCGCAGGCTTCAAACTCACTCAAACATGTTGCGTTGCCGTTGCCCCTACAACTCCAACATCGAACTGCGAGCGGTGCTGGGTGGTGGGTAGGTGGTTTTGCAGTTGGAGTTTGCGTTGGCTGTCGCTCACTTCCGCTTGGAGCCGAGAGTTTTTCGTTGCCGTTCTCGGCTTTTGGTTTTGCTGTCGGCCTGACGTTTGCCGCCTGTTGGTTGGCTGGGCTTTGTAATACATGGGGCACCTACCCCTGCCGGCAACGCCCCGGAACGTGACCAAAATGAATTGTAGGCGTGCACCATGTCAGTCGGCGGAAGCGTGCCAAGAAATCCGCATTGCTGCAGTAACTGCCGCTCCTGCTGCTGCTGCAGTTCACCCAGCGGCCCAGCTGCAGCTGCGTTTAAGATGAATTCCGTCAATTTCAGTCGTTTTGTCTATTGACATTTGCCTGTTCGGATTTGGCATTCTGATTGGCCGTCGCTTAGGGACAACCTGGGTGCAGAATGCGGGCGGGCGGCACTGAGTTTCCTGGCTGGATAGCACTTCATAGCCATTTCTGGCTTTGTTTTAAGGACTTCTGTCGTGCCACAAAAGTTTGAAGCACTTGTTTACGATTTCAAGTGCATTTGTTGGGCCCGTCATAATTTCGAGCCTGCAATTGCTTCGATTTGCTCCTACCACTCCCTGCGGCAGCCAAAAGTTTTCCACTCAAGTCACTGACGCAAATCTCAGCTGTTAAGTTCTTCACTTTGGTTATGCTAATGAGGCAACTTTTGTCCTTGTTCGCACAGGTCCAATGCGCAAAAACGATTCCAAAAATTATCAGCTTGTATGTAGTTGGAGCATGGTCTTCTTGTACATCAAGTCCTTAAGTACACTCAAATGGCTTGAGCTTCTTTAAATTTTATGTAATTCTAAATAAAAGTAGCCTATTTCCCTTTGGAATAATTAGTAGATTGAACCTATACAATAGGCTTCTAGCCTATGAAGGAGACTTAATTTACTTTACCATATAAAATACTCTTGTAAATAATAAACTTTCATGAATGAACAACAAAAGAAAAAGGATCTACTGCCAGCTCTTCTTTAAAGGAAAGTTTCTTCACAATGGAAAGTTTACTGTAAAAAGTTGTTTACTTTGGTCGAGCAGTTTTTAATAAGTCTTTACACACGCCATATGCGAAACATTTCCGAAATAACCAAAACCTACCTATGTATGTACCTCATTACATAGGCACACCTATTGGTAAAAGCCTCAGCCATGTTCAACAAGCAAATCATATTTTCAGCCATATCTCGATAAGATATTATCTTCCATACAACATGTTATAAAAGCCGGAGCACACAGCCCAAGTTCTGTGAATCAGTTGGCAGACGTTGGAAACGTTTACCCAGCATGAAATACGCGACTCTATTACTGATCGGGCTGTTGTTGGCCACAGCTCTGCTCAGCGAGGCTCAGAAGCAGGCTGGCAAAACGAAAAACAAGTCCAAGTCGAAGAACAAGGAGAAGACAACAGTACCGCCACAGCTGGAGAGGCAGGCGCTTTTAAAGGCTGAGCCCTGCTCGGCGGCCAAGTGCAAGTTGCCCGAATGCCGTTGTTCGGATGCGATATTGCCAAGACCTAAATTCAAGGGCAAGGAGCATGAGATACCACAGGTAAGTTTATATATGTGATGAACTATTATTTTGGCTTTAGCCGGATATAAGCTAGGCTTAAAATATAATTATCATTATTATTATTTAATATTAATATTATTTATTTATTATAATTAATATAAGATAATTATCAATCTGAGGTATTATTTTATTTAGCCAACTATTCCATGATCCACACAATGTTGTGGAACAAATAAATATTTTTATATATATGTTTTTTAAACTTTCATCATTTTAATGGAACTTTTGAACTTTCAGTTCGTTACAATCACCTTTGATGATGCCGTAAATGCTGTGAACTATGCCCAATATGAGCTACTCTTCGATGGTCTGAGCAATCCCGATGGCTGTGCGGCAACGGGCACCTTCTTTCTATCGCACGAGTACACGGATTACGTGCGAGTGAATGCATTGTACAATGCGGGTCACGAGATTGCCCTGCACTCGGTGACCCATGGCGACGGCACTGATTATTGGCGCGATGCGGACGTTGAGACTATTGAACGTGAGTTCGGAGCCCAGCTGCAGATGCTGGAGACGTTCGCCAAGGTGAATGCGAAGCATGTTCAGGGCATCCGGCTGCCCTTCCTGCAGATTTCCGGTAACAACTCCTTTGAGGCAGTCAAGAATCTGGGCCTGACCTATGACAGCTCCTGGCCGACGCAACAGCACAAGGAACCGGCTATGTGGCCCTACACCTTGGACTACCTGTCCATACAGGACTGTCAGATCGGTCCATGTCCGGATGCTGCGTTGCCCGGCGTTTGGGTTAATCCCATGGTTACGTGGACGGACACTGAGGGCTACAGCTGCTCCATGATCGATGCCTGCGCCTATCCGCCCGCAGACGATGTGGATGCATTGTTCGAGTGGATGCTGGAGAACTTTAATCGCCACTACAAGGGCAATCGGGCGCCATTCGGCATGTATCTGCATGCAGCTTGGTTTGCACGGGGCCGCAACTACTTTGCTGCCTTCAAGAAGTACGTAAAGAGGCACAATCGAATTGCAGTTCTTCATTTGTATTTAATCAAATTCTACACAGATTCATGCATCATTTATCAACCTATCCGGATGTGTACATGACGGGCGTATCGCGCATGTTGGAGTATGTGAAAAAACCGGTGCTGGGTCAGCCCTTCAAGAGCTGCGAGAAGAAGCCCAACACCAGTTGCCAGCCGGTGCACTGCAATGTCCAGAAGGTATCCACGGGCGAGACGCGCTACATGAGCGTCTGCGACAAGTGCCCAATTGTCTATCCCTGGTTGGATAATCCATTGGGCCAGGATATGTAAATGTTGCACACCCAATAAACACAGCACGATATAATGAAGCTACCATGTTTTGTCTGGCCGCTGCCATGTGGCCATTTGGCCATTTGGCCCTTGTTACTCCCATGATCTAAGCCAATTTACATTTGCCGGCCGTGTCCTTAGTCCGAAAACGTCACTGATAAATGACTTGAAATTATGCTCCCGGCCGTGAGGCGCTTAATTAACTCATTCAGCGCAGCGTTCTCCAACTCCAAGGCAACCCCTTTGCCCCCTTCGCCCAGCCACGTACATGTCGAGACTTTGTCAATTTCGCTGGTGGCGGGCCTAAAGTGTGTAGCCATATTTTATGGCATGAATTAATACGCCACACACAACCCGCCCAGCGGACCAAGTGGTGCCTCGGCTGCTGTCAATGCAGCTGCTACCTGTAAATGACGGGGACGTGGACAAGGCGCCTGCACGTATCGGCACGTTGCTTGGACATGTGTCCGCCTGGGCGGACGTCGCGATGGTTGCATTTTTGGTTAATGGGCCTCTAACTAATGGCAGGCACTGTCTGCATATCACTCGAATGGGCCTTGTGGCATGGTCGGGCGATTGCGGTCAAAAATTATCTATGCCCAGATCCAACATAAATTAAGGCATCAACTGTGCTTCATGTCGCTAGAACAGTGGGCTATATCGATGATTATATATTGAAAATGAGATTCTAAGATACTGCCAAGTATCTTATTCTCACTTTAAATAAGACTTACAAAATACCAACAAAAAAAATGTCTATAACACTAGCTGAATGTAAATAAGGGAGAAAAGGTTTTTAAACTTGACCTATTCAGAAAACAGTCAGGGAAAAACTGACTTATCTTTTTGCAATTTTTAAGGGAAAAATATTGCAGAATAAATATGTATTAGCAAAAATATATACTTTCTTGTTTTTTATGGAGTCTGGGCTAAAGTTACCTCTTACGTCCTAAATGTTTTTAAATTTTAATTAAGTATATTTAAATAGTTAATCAAATCCAGATTTGTCAGTGTCATGAAATCGCTTCATAGTCAGAAGAACATAACGTATAAGAATATGTTGCTAATTTTTTTTTCGACTCTACTTATTCCAATTGGGTTTTGCGTATTAAGCCACACCAAGATTTCGCATTAATAATGTCTTAAACATTTTTAGATTAAGCATTTTTGCATAACAATAACAATTTAATTCACAAAACTTAATTCGATGAATATTTTATATTAATATTTGAATGCCAGCTTATTGTTCTGCATAGTTGCGGCATCTCTCACGCGCTTGTGACAATGTTTATTGGCCAGTACATAGCCCTGAGGGCAGCTGGCTTCCAGTATATTGTAGGGCTTCACCAGGACAGTGTCGTTGGGGCTCCATTTTGGTGATTCGAGCACCGGCACCGGCATACGGCTGGTTGCACTCAAACTGGGATTTGTGGTTGCAGCTTCAACAATTTCACTATCCGAGACGGCAAAGTGTTGGTAAAATGTCAGCAATAAAAACAAGTATATGACACCACAAAAATATCCTTGCAACATTTTTGCGTCGACTTTAATATTACTTTAAGTCTAGCAAACTTTTCTGGTAACTGTTCAAACTAAACTGAGTCTATGTCAATGGAATATTTTACTTTTTACCAAATTTTTGTTCCGAAATGTTGGCCAATTTCGAAAGCAGTTGCGGGCTTTTAAGGCACTCAGCTAAGAGCTCTTCAGACAATGAATAATTGTGGCTGTTCAAGGTTATTTTGCTTCAAAATAGATCAAAGATAAACTCATTCGCATTTGTGCACTTCTTGAGATATTCAAATTTGAGCTGTTCAAATAATGTACAAAAATTTCATAGAAATACACGGTTAAAAATTGTATGTGCAACATATTTTACAGACTTCAATCGAAACATTATGAAAATTGTAAATATCAGCTTACTTAAGATACAGTTATTACCAGAACTCTAACTGCAATTATACTTGAATATTAACTTTACCATCAAAAAACATCAATTGAAATAAATACAGAAATCGAGTCCAACTTTTGTAGCCCTGTAGATGACATGGACACAATCAGCGGCCAAAAGCAAAGCAGCGAAATTAAACTTTGCTTTTATGAAAATGAAGAAAACCCCGCAACAAATGCTACCGGAAATGAACAGAAATAACAAATATTTACAGATTACTTTTGCCAGAATGCCGCTGATTAACAAACGCATCCATTGTCCGCAACCAGAGACAAAAGGCAGCATCTTCTTTCTCTCATCAGCAGCCAACCTGCGTAGCTGCAGCAATCACCTGCTAAAACCTAGCTCATTTTCTCATAAAATATGCTTTCTATTGACTTTCACAATTTATTTTGCACAACACATGCACGCATTCAGATACATATTTTGCATACATTTAGCAGGCTTCTTTTTTTGTTTTGGAGGTTGTCGTAAATAAATGACTATACGACCCTGAAGTCGGGCAGAGCTTCCCTTAGCTGGTGTCTTGCATCAGCTGTCGGAGTGCCAAAGACGCATTATTTTAATGTATTTTTATAAACTTGCTACAATGGGCGCGACCAAAAAGGTTTTCTCAGCATTTAACCCTGAGTTGCCAGGCCTTCAAAAATTATTCCATTTAAAATGACATTTTTATGCTCCGCACATTTTTTTGCCTCTCCGCAAAAATTATTTTGCTGCTACTTATGAGGCTGCGATGTTCATGTTAAGAACCGAGGGTGGCTAGCTGACATTTGGGCGCAGGGGAGTGACAATAGAATTGTCAAAATTATTAGCCTAAATGGCTGACATTTGTTAAGAGTGGCTCAGGTTACTCCATAAAAAATGCACTAAAAGGGACGCCTCAACTTGGGACAATGGCGGAACATGAAATAGAAAAATTGCGAATAATTGCGCGAACGCTTAAGTTAGTATCTATCTGGATAAATGATAGTTTCTATGAAGATCACGTTCTTTTTAGTATTACACAACTTTCTAACATTTGCAGCTAAGCATATGGCCTCACTTATTTACAAATGAAATTAAAACTATAGCGAAACATAGGGGAATCATTGTATAACCATTTCAAATTAAATTTGAAACACGCCAGAATATCAGCTATAAAAGTGGAACCCCGCTTGAAATCTTTCATAGTTAGAAAAGAACTAAAAGGTGAAATATGAAGCCCACACTGATATTCTTGATCGTTCTTGGAGTGGCGGCCTCAGCTTATGCTGGTCAATCAGCATATGCAAATGATCCAGCACCACCCGCTGCGCAACCTGCTGCAAATGATCCAGCACCACCCGCGGCGCAACCTGCTGCAAATGATCCAGCACCACCCGCGGCGCAACCTTCTGCAAATGATCCAGCACCACCCGCGGCGCAACCTTCTGCAAATGATCCGGCACCACCCGCTGCAAAAGCTGCAGCGCCGCCAGCTGCAAACGATCCAGCAGCATATTCTGCAGATGATCCATTGCAACAAGCTGCATATGATCAAGCACCACTAATTTCATATGATCCAGCACCACCCGCTGCAGCGCAACCTTCTGCCAATGATCCAGCACCACCCGCTGCAGCGCAACCTTCTGCAAATGATCCAGCACCACATTCTCAATATGATCCATTGCTGTGAGAAGGCCGTCTCTGATTGTGAAAAGAACAGCCATCGAAGCGTTTTCCCGTAGTCACCTCAGATTCTGTCAAATATAGTTTACCAATAACATATGTTATCCTTAACGAATATACTTGCATCAACGGTATTGGTTGATGGGTTATGCCTTAACTTTAAAGCCGGTGTGCTACAATTTTTATTTGGGTACATGGGACTATTTGTAGCAAATAACTAAAAACACTTTAATTGTATATAAAGTGTATTGTTCGTGTAGTTTCTGATTATTCTGCAAATGGGTACCCAATATTCACGCTTGCCATCAGTTTCATAATGAAAACAAAAACTAAATAATAAGTTGCAAATTCGTATCTTCTATAGTTTCCGAGATCAACGTATTTAGATTCGCTTTTACCCATTTTCAATGTGTAAGTGTATAGTGAAAAAATAGCAACTCAATTTTCTTCTTACAAATCTATGCTTTTGTCAGATTTTAGTTGTAAGGCTTCAATTGGTATCGCGTTTGTAATAGCTGAGTAATCAGTAATCATCACTAATTAACAATTGCGAATACAAAACCGTTAAATGAATTTAAAGGATCATATTGGCGTTCAGGTAAATCAGAAACACTAAAATACTATAAAATCAGACTGTTTCTTGAATAGCTACATAGAGTTAAAAGAAAAATGAATTGTGAAACCCTCACTATGACTATTTACAGCGACTGACTAATTTTTAAAATAAAAATCACACATACGTCCTGTATTTTAACAATTCTATGAAAACATTTCCTTTCAACATATAAGGAATTTGATTTATGCCTATCTAAGTCCTTAGGAGATCAGCTTTCAACTAACCTACTGAATGTACCAAGCCCAACTGTCTTAAGAGGTGGCCCGAGAAATGTTGCTCAGAAAAGGCTCAACTCTAATCCGGCAGGCCCCAGTTATAGTATGGAAGGATTTTTATTAATGTAATACATACAACTTTTAGTTACTCCCGACTCGACTCGAGCCCGCATCCTATGAATTCCGTCGCCTTTACGCCTCGAACAATTATCTATAAAACTTCCATAATAATAATGTCAATATATAATATAAAAAGCATTATTATTGTAAAATTTTTGTTGATCTTTCGAAGATTTGTGTTCTGTTAATGCCAAACCTGACTAATTAAAATTAATTGATATCTATTCATATGACGCGTGCAGTTTTCAGATTCTCAAGCGAGTGAGACAATCGTCGGGCACTCTCATTATGCATGCAATTATACAAGTTTGTGTTTCATGTATTTCCTTATCGCCAGAGACAGCTGACAAAATAACTGGCGACTATCGACTGTGCAACTGGGCAGCTCCGGACTTGTCTTGAAGTCTTGAAGCTCTCTCTCTCTCTTTCAGTTGTTAGTCTTGAATGCGAATTCGGGTAGAGTAAACGTGTTTTAACGTGATGGCAATTAAATTGATGCCCGTATTACCCTTCGTACTGTACATATTGCTGCTGTTGGTGCACATCTCATTGTCACACCAGCTGCACGATATTTACACTTCCTATGCAGCAGATGCCCAACAGTTGACAATGGAGAAGCGCAATCAGAGCGAGAAGTTGAGTCCAGTGGAAGGCTCTTCACCACTAAGGAATGAGACAAGTCAAAAGCCTATAAGTGAGAGATCGAGTGAGCGACCAATTGGGAAGCCCTCCAATGAGATAAATGAGAATTCCACTGAACAGGCCGCGATGAAAGAGAAAGAAGAAACAACTGAACAGACCAAGGAGAAGATGAAAGAGCGCCCAGAAAAAGACGATCTCTTAAAGAAAGATCCAAAGATTGCCGAAATTGGACCGCGCATCACACTCGACACGCTGCCCGTGTGCGGGGATGGCTTTAAACTATTTGGAGCTCATTGTCGCAAGGAGGCTTAAAAAGCCGTCAATAAATGAAAAATGTGATAAGTTCGACTTTTGATGGGAAGTTCACTTTTGGGGGCTGTACGTAAACAAACAGTGCGCACTGTAGAGCTTTAACAAATAGACTCTTGTTTACACTTCAATGAGTAACACGGGCCGCTTCAAAACAAGAGCTTTCGCTTCCAGTTTCCAGTTTGGAATAGTGAAGCGAGCCAGCTTCGTTTTTTATTCTGCTATTATTATTTTATTTTATTTTTTTTTGAGTATCTTTGTTATTGTTTAATTTTACTCTCTGTATTGTATTATTTGCTAAACAAGCTAATGACAATCGATTCTTATCGCAATTGTCTGTCTCTGCGGCCTTTTTTACTCCCACAGTCTTTCTGGAGATCTTCATCAACGTTTCGTGTGTCAGTCTCGAAAGCTCCGTGGAAGCGGCCAAACGCGTTTTTTCTTCTTCCTACGATCGCTCTCCCAGCGGCCACAGCCGATAAACAGCTAAACAATGCACTTGAAAGCCGTTCACACACTACTCTTGGCCATTGTGGCCTGGCAGATCTGCGGCATGGAGCTGCGTCTGTGCGACGATCGCATAGTGTTTCCAGATGACAACAACGAACCAACACTCTATAACCTGAGCAGCAGCAACATCAGCAACATTAGCAGCAGCAGCAGCAACACAAACAGCAACAGCAACAACACCAACATCAGCTACAACAACAGCAGCAGCAACATTGATTTGAGCAACACCAACATCAGCAGCAGCATCATTAGCAGCACAAACATTAGCAACATTAGCAGCAGCAGCAACAACATTGAATTAAGCAACCTCAACCTCAACAGCAGCAATATCACCAGCACCACGGGGTCACCCTTGGGTAACGGCACTTTGGAGGAGCTGCATCTGTCGAACAGCAGCGCAAGCACAACGGAGCTGCCCTCGCTGGACAATCGCATTCTGGTGGACACTTTGCCAGTGTGTCCTCCAGGCCAGAGTCTGCGAGCGGGACGTTGTCGCAAATCTGCTTAAAACGAATAAAAGACTAAAAAAAAATCAAAAATAATAATTTACATACATATGTGTATTTAATGTTAAAGTGAGTGTATGTATGTGAGCGTTTAATTGCTTTGTATTTGTTGTTTTTAATTTGAGTTTTTTAATTACCAAAACTAAGGCTGTTTTCCCAACCAGACCGACTATTTAATATACTTACTTTTAAGATACTTTCATAATACCTTAACGAGCAGCTGATTGAGTATTAAATATGTTTGTTGTTAAACAAAATTTTTGAGTTAAATATTTTATGTTCATTCTCAAGCACTTTGTAAAAATTATGTATATGTAAATATAAAATATATTTCGCTACTTAAAAGAAAAAATGTCCACTAAAAGGTTCAGGCATACCCATAAGTATTAATCTAAATTATTGTATTTCAAATATTTTATTCAGTTCATAAATGTATTACAACATGTATAATAAGATATTAAATTTGCTTGAAAACAAGGCACAGCTGACTTCAAATATTGTAAAACTGAAACAAAGTTATCTGAATAACTCATCTGGCATAAAGACAATGATATCATTTCTACAATGTGCTGTTCACCAAGTTGAAATGCCCACAGCAAGTGTATGAAAAAAAAAATCCCCGCAAATTGTAGTGTAATAATTATCTTTTCCGAGTGTCTGACATTTTTGCAAACAAAAATTCGAGAGGCAGTGGGGGCAAGAGTTTTGGCCAGAGAAACTAGCAAAATGTCTCTATGAAACAAGCTATGTGGCTTTCACAAGCAAAGTCTCACACATAAAATTAAAATAGTTGGCGAGTCATCAATCAATATAATAGAAAATTACACGGTCCTGTGCATCTCTTCACTAACTTGTATTATTTGTAGATAGAAAAACATTTGTTTTCGCAGCTCAGTTATTTGCAATGTAAACTTGTCATAAATACTATTTATGAGCTCTTATTAATGAGAAGCCAATTCTCTAAATCGTATAAGAGCTATTCCAACGGGCTTATCATGTCAGATTTAAGCTTAATTGAAAACAATATTCTAGGTACTTATTCAAAATCTCTACGAGATGGTCTCAGTCTCAATTTAGCACGCGGCAACGCCAGAAGCTCGACTAGAACTTGGACGCACAGATGATTCCTAACCTCGGACTCTTATCGCTGGGGCTGTTGCTGATAGCCCTGCTTAATGCGCAGCTAATGCAGGCCCAGCCAGAACATCGATTACATGGGGATCAGTCGCATAATGGTGACGGCTGGGGCTATTCACAGCCTCAAAGGTGCGTGAACTAACTGAAATTGTTACAATTTTACTGCTTTTACTAGCTCTGCATCACATTAGATCTTATGGGCAACACGAACATAGGCACCATCATGGACATGGACATGCGCACGGACATAACCACAATCAGTACTACGATCGATATCCAGGCAGCTTCCCGGGTGCTGCGCAGTTCGAGCACGGTCAGGGTCCCAACTTTGCTAGAGGCTTCTATGGGGGAGGACAGCCCAGAGGTGGATATGCTGGGCAACCAGGCGCAGGGCCTGGAAGCCCGACACCTGGCGTAGATTACGCTGCTCAGGCAGGCAGTGGTTCTGGACCTGGACCCGATTTCGGCTACCAGCAACCGGAAGCTGGATACGGAAGAGAAGGTCAAAGGGTTGATGCAGGATATGAAGGTCAGTCAGGCGCTGGTTTCGTTGGTCAACCCAGGGCGGGTTACGGGGGGAGCAATCGGCATTTCCAGCCGCGTCCAGGCCAACCCCAACAGCCAAATCAACCAGCGTATGAAAGCGAGCAGAGAGGGCAACCCATTCAGCCACGACCTCAAACAGGCGACCAAGGCACGTTGGACTTTAACTACCAACAACCGGGCTATGCAGGAAGACCCTTGCAGCCACGCCCAGGAGTGGCGGAAAACGATCAGTTTCAACCATCTGGCAACCCCATTCAGCCGCGTCCGCAGCAGGGCGGGCACGACAAACCTGAATTCGACTACCAACAACCTGGCGGCTCCGGAAATCCCTTGCAGCCACTCCCCGGCAACGGACCATCTGGCAGGCCAATTCAACCGCGACCCACAGATTCCCTAAATGTTCAGCCCTCTCACGATGCAGCCAATTTCAATCCTATTCAACCACTTCCAGGACAAGTTCAACAGCCACAACCGACCCACAGGTCTAATGCAGGAGATCAGCATCCCGGAGATCAGTCAGTTGGCACCACCTTGCAGCCTCGACCCAGATCTGATGGTGCCTTGTCCGAACCCGAGACTAATCTACAAAGCACAGTCGATGACAATATTGCGTCCCTTTTCAATACGAATAATTTTTTGACACCCACACTGATCGAAGACAAGGGGTTGCACGGATCTAGGGACCCAAAGTCACAAGCTGAAATTAATCAACCGGAATCCATTGCAGGGCGCAACCTATTTGAAACAATGCCGCAGTGCCCCGAAGGAACAGAGGTGCGCGGCGGACGCTGTCGCCAGAAGGCCTAGAAATAAGTAAAGGCTTGAACAGAAACATCGCAACTTAGTTAATCGGCTTAACAATCTGACAATCTGATGCCTCAGTGGAAACAAAATTGTATTAAATATTTAATAAACAATCATTTGAAAGCGATTAAATTTAGTTTCCCATATCTGATACATAAATATGAAATTGGATATACATATATTTCTGCTATAGCGTGCGACTCACTAAACACGCACATTTTTTCCGGGTATGCGACGAAGTTGAAAAACAAACTAGTCCGTGACAGTTGATAACCCATTCAGTATTATATTATATGGGGTCGGGAAAGTTCATTCAAAATGCTTGCAAATTCTAAATAGTAATCATTTGATTACTTGATACTTTATAGGTACCTAATCTGGTATACAAATTATAAGAGGCATATGCGACTAGCTCGAGAGCAACAATTGCTTTGCATGGATCCATATGCATCATTATTATCAACCCGTACAGTTGGATGCAAACGACTTACGGTTCGACTCAGACTACTTTGGTTTTAGGTATCGAGTTGAGTCACAACCAGACGAGACACATAAACAGACATGGAACATCTGTGAACGTCGAACAAAATGTGGGTCAAAGATTGTGTGGGCACAGTTTTCAATTTCTTTCGATCGGCTTTATCAACGTACCCTATGAAAACTCCTCTTGGATGCGAGTCAAAAGTTCGATGAACGCACGTTTATTTATTCTCTTCAAGTAAATTAAAGCTGGGAACTATTAACAATCGCAAAGGTCAGTTGTCAAGAAATGAGGGTTACTTCTTGAGTATACTGGCTAATTTTCCAGAATACTTTATACGTATGACATAGGCATGACAAAAATGAAATTCAACTCAGGAGAAGAACAAGCCAGAGGGTAAGACTGCAGGTCATGCTAATGGGAACTTTGGGAACAATCGATATACACAGACTCAGTCAATAAATTGTCCCTGTGAATTATCACCGCATGTTTTCGCTCTCCAAGGAATGGACAGCCGACTTGAGCATTAATCAACACATTAAAATTATATAGATTATTCATAGTCGCATAATCAGACAGTTGTTAATATCTGATATCTGAAGCAAGAAATCCGATATATTATCAGTTTTAGCGAATGAGTCACATTTGACTATTCAGATAAATATATAAAGAACATAGTTTTCCTAATGACACAGACACAGTGGACTGAAAATCTAGTAATATGTTTTCCTCGAATGGCATTAATATTTGAACTAGATACTAGTCATGCAATTGATTTACGTTAAACGATACATCTGATACTTTGTCTATCCTGATCCACCCATTTTCCCCATTAAAAGCAGTATCAAATGCGTCATTGAACTAACGTTACAAGTAAAAAACAGTACCCTGAACTGTGACATCACAGCCTAAGGGGCCGATAAATAAAACAACAGCTAGAACAGCCTATGGAATGCCGACGAGTCAATACACTATAGATATACAAATTTGATCTTTGTCTGTGTTAAGAAGTTTTTACCCTGAACTTGGACAGCCACGCCCGTTTATGGAAAAAGGCAATCAAAAGTGATATTAAACATTCATTAAAAAAAAAAAATGACTGCTTTGTAAAATATGCTTCAATACTGAGAGATGTACACTTGATGTAGCAAGCAGTGTGATAAAGTCAATATACCCTTTGTTAGGCTATTAAATAAGATATGTTAGTGTCGACCATCCCGGGTGGGAATACTTGCGCTCAGAGCGCAAGCTACGTAGTTTGCTGATAGTAATCCCAGCGGTATCGAAACAAGTCAGCTATTCCGTCCACTGGGAGGTGAAGCACCAACGCTTAGTTGTTGTCTATATAAAAGGGGTTACGCACTTGGTCAACGTATTTAGTTGCTGCAGTCGAGTCGCGCTGGCTAGTGCCCCATATTTGTTCGAGATGAAGCTAATATCTAGTAAATATCTATATCTGCTGCTTATTCTGCTGGTATACCTGAGTGCATTGACCGCAGCGAGTCCAGTAAAATCCAGGGACATGTCCAAATGCCCGCCGCGTTTTAAATTGTATCTCGGACGTTGTCGATTGCCCGCCTGAAGTGATCCGATCTAATCAGCTCGCAACACTCGGACATAGCTTAGAGACGCAGCGCGTATTCCTACTCAGATAAGTCGAGTATTTGTGGACATACTTATATCGTATTAATGCTTGTAAAACACTTTGAGCACGTAGTCATAAGCTTTATAAATAAATACTTGTAGAACCTACGTGTCGTCATCAATTGTGGCTAACTTCGTTAATTGGGTAGTCAGATATATGCATATATACATATGTATAGGTAATCGGGAATTTTATAGAACTTTGCACCACAGCTGCGGCCAAGTAATTAGGCAACCACTTTGCAATTTCACAGTCTTTTTATTATTCGTTCTTGATTCACAACGCACATTTCCAGCAGTCAGATAACAGCAAAAGGCATTCGCAATTGTCTGAGCACCTTTCTAGGCAATTTTCCGGCATCGCTGCCGATCACTGGTTAGCTTAAAGCCCTCCGGACAAATTTCTGGCACAGTGAAAATACTCTGCAGTATGGGATTCACACCCATGCCGGTATTCTGAAACTGCCCATAATCTGTTTGCATCTGGGGCTTGGGCATCGGAATGATATTGTCGACCGTCGGGGGGAAGCCTTCGCTCTGCCGGATGAGCAGGCAGCACAGTAATATTCCGAAGCACAGTGCAGCAAGTGGACGTTCTGATAGCATATTGAAGATTATCTCTAGGCTTGGGGTTCACACCAGTCCAAAGTTACCTGCGAAACTAAACCAAGTTCCGCTTGTTGACACTCTTCAAGGTATCGATCAAGCCATAATCCAAGCTTTCCTCTAAATATCTCTCGCAAATGTTCGTGTATCTCAAAGTTGAACATTGAGTACTAGTAATATTTAAGTACTCAATGAGCTTTTTCTGACAACCGAATGAGCAGCAAAGCTTAAGCAGATGTTTGTGCATTAAAAGCAATGGAGCTTTGAGTACGAAAGCTCTGCAAGCGTATATAGGAATCTGAGACCGGCATTGTCTCAAAATTCAACAATAAAACAAAGACTAGTTAATTAGTTAACAAGTTATTAAATCAATAATAGACGACTTGTTCTTTATCTTTCTTCGTTTCTAATAATTAAGAATACTCCCTTATTTTCAATTCCTTCAATTTTAGTATATGGACAAATTAAAAAGTAATTTATAAAATTGTTTCTTTCCTTTAATTAATAAAAATATTTTAAATTTATTATATGGCTTATATATATTGTTTTATATTCATAAACTTAATTTCATGATTTCTTTTTGTTTTCTATTCTATAAATATATTAATGCAATCAAATGCTAGCCTAGATCTTTTGTTAACATTTTTGAATTGTTTTATAGCATTTTTCGTATTTCTTCATTTCAAACAATATTGAATATTTTTTAAAATTATATTTAACATATTGTTTGCCAGGTTAATAACCAATGTGCAAGATACTTGTTTATAATTCGATTGATTGATTTTTCGCACTGATTCAGAGAGCTTTTTCACAGACAATCTTCGCAAACTTTCTTTGTCACTTAGTTTTACATTTACTACAAAATGTTTTAGTTAAACTGCAACAGTCACTGCCAAAAATGTTTCAACAGTGCGTTTCTTATAAATGAATGAAATTAAATAGCTAAAATAGGAGTATTTAGTTGTTGCTTTCCATTGCGGCTCGGATCTGTTGGTGCTGAGCGTTTGCCCTGGCCGCGTGATTAGTGTTGTTTACACCCGGACTAATGGAGCTCCAGCCGATCCAGCAGACAGCGTGCACAACCAGAACAACAATTCCGATGCGAACAGCTGGCTTGTGTATAAAGCTCTTCGCACCACGTTTACCACGCTCCATGTTTTCGTCAACTGAACGCTCTGAATTCGCATTTCGGCGGCAAAAGCTCAACGCGCAACAGATTGGTGGAGTAAAAGCTTTTCAGTTGTTTTGCAGGGCTGCGATCTGTTAAATCTTGTGAATCATTTATGGAGCTGCGCACTTATACATTGATTCAGTGAAACAATATTCAATAATAATGAAATCAAAGTTTAAAAGCCTTGTCTCAGTCAACTACAAATTTATTGAATTTTGTCTTGGCTTGGCATTGGGTTTCAAATGACCAATTGTCGGTATTTTTTGTTCTCTTTTTATTGATTTATTTACATGATTATAATACTAATTCTGTCACATCTAGGCTGTCTTGCGACAACGCTGTGGTCGACCATAGAGCATAAAGCCAGGAGGGCATATTCGCGGCACATCGAGGATCGTGGGCATTAAGATCCGTGTGGCATTTCCAGATGATATCGTCTGTGAAGATGACGCATTGATATCATTGTATTTTATTGGCGTAGGCGACGATGCTCCACACGGCCAGCTGATAAGCAGAGATAGCACCAGAATCAAGCACAGTCCGTGAATTTTAGATGCTGTTAACATTTTTAAAAAATAATCTCCGAGCCCCCAGTCTCACATCTGGGCAGCGTGAGCTACGGAACTGAATGAGTTTTTAGGGCTGCTTTCCAATTTATTGATGAATCCAATTTTAAGCTTTTGCCCAGATGAACAAGATTATTTCGAAAAGCGAGAAAGCTTTCACGAATTAGTGTAGAGATGTTGATTAAAAAAAGCTGCCGAGAAATTTTAAAAGCTGCACCGTGGAAAATTTGTTAAGATCAGATGTTAAGAAGTTGTTCTGCTTTTCACGAATTTTAACAATTTTAAGAAGCCTAAAATTATAATTATTTATATTTTTTATTTATATAGTATTTTATTTTTATTTTATTTTATATAATTTTAAAAACTATGTTGAAAGCAACTACCCTACTCAATTTTGAGAGCTAAAACTTAAAAAATGAAGCTTTAATCTGAAGCGAGCTGCAAGCAAACGCTGGCAACTCGAAATGTTTTGCACTGGCCAGTTCGGTGTTGCCACGCCCACAGGGGCATACTAGCAGTCTGTAACCACAAAACTTTGGCACGGCGCAAACACAAAGCCAACTGGCGGCAAAGCAAATGTTCAGCATCAAATGGCACACAAAACACTCGTATTACGTATACGCCAAGTGTGCTGCCCCCAGGGAGCAGAGGGGTGTGGCAAAAGCTGATGCTGAAAGATTGAAGCTGGAGGCAACTGGAATTAGCATGTTATGTTTAACGCATTTTTGCACCTTCGACGTGTGTCTGTGCCTGACTTTGGATGTAAGCTTGCATGGGTTTGCCAGTGGGCGGGCGGCGGGTAGTTTGGGGGACACATGTGCAAACAAGACGCTGCCTTAACCCATTGTGGCTTATCCTGCGGCATTTTCCACACATTTAATCGCATTTTGTTTTCTGTGGAGCATTGTTGAGAGCACACATGAATTTTAAAATGCGGTTTGTTGTGGCGAGAATTGGGCGGTAGCGGAAGGGGCACAGTACAGGGTATATCTACCGCCGGCTTAAGGTGAGCATTTGCTGTGAGTGCCATTGAATAATGCAGCGGCTGCAGCTGCAGCTGTTGCTATTGCTAATGCTGCCCGATTCCAACAAATGAAAATTGAATTTACGTTGCGACATTTAAAAATTTCTCTAGTCACATCAACATTTTTCGCACGGTACAAGGGGGGGGGGGGGGGGGGGGGGGTATATGTGGGGGGGAGGGTAAGGAAGTAAAAGCGTTTTGCCTTCGCTTGCAGGCTCATTAAATAGATGCCCGGGACGTGCTTCCATTTTGGGGCACATTTCATTAAGTGCACGTAAACGGCAGGCTGTCAACTAGCAGTGGGCGTGACATCTCCGCCCACACCTCCCAACCACCCACACACACGGTTACTTATACACTGCGGCACTTGGGTAATTCTCAACGTAAACACTTTGGAAGCATGTCGCAAAGACATCAATTACAGCATCGATTCCCCTTCCCACACTCCCTGGCCAGGCCACCGTTACATGAGACCGAACTGTTGGCGATGATAACGTTGATAATGATGATGTTTCAATGAATGTTTGCTGACAATGCTGCGGTTTACTCTTACCACATTTCAAATGTATTTTTATGTGAGTACTCGAAACACTCATACCCAATGCCTTTACTCGTACTCGAATTTGCTTCTCATTGCTTAAATACATTTCGACTACGTGTCGTGTACCCAAAACTGTCCATGTGGACCCATATGCAAAAAGAAACAAAGCAAAAGGCCATAGACATGAATAGACAACTCTTAATTGCTGTTGCGTGCGAAATGAAGGCAATTATTGAGGCCGAAAGCTCTTTTTTCTAAAATAAAATTGAACTTATTTGGTTACAATTTACTTCCAAATATAATATAAATGTAACATCAAAAACATATACAGTATGTCAATAAAGTGTTTTTACTAACAAAAAAAAACTAATTTTTTGGGTTTAGTTGAAAATAAATGTACCTAAAAGTGAGAATTTTTTTTCAATTATAATTTATTTCGATTCTATATTTCTCCTAGAACTTAATGGCAAAAAGAATTGTTAAATAACATTACCCAAACATTTTATAAAATTAAAAAACTAAAAACATTCACATTTTATGCTGTCAATAAAGTGTTTTTACAGCTACGGTAAATTGTTTTGCCGTTCTCTTTTGGGTGATCCCGTTAGATTTGGGCCCATGCGTTTTGGCTTCTCTTGTGTCTTCGACTTTTCTTGTCATTTTCTATTGCAATTTATAACGTTTTGCTTTAATTTTATGAAAAATAAAATGCCAGGAAAAAGAACAACTTTTGAAGTCGCTCAGCTGGTGTATTATAACCATCAGATGGGACGTCAAGTCTCGGAACTGGCTGATATGTTTAATTTATCAAAAGCAACGATATACAACATATTAAACAGAGCCAATAAGGAAGATAGGCTAGAGGCAAAGCCAGTATGTGGTCGACCCTGCAAAATTTCTGACAGAGATAAGCGAAAAATTCTGAGAAAAATTGAGAAAAATCCACAAATTTCGCTTAGGGATATTGCTCAGGAGTTCAAGGAAGAAAGTGGTGTTGATGTGTTACATGAAACTGTCCGAAAATTACTGAATTCCAATGACTACACATCACGAGTTGCCAGGAAAAAACCTCTACTATCGGCGGCGAATATTTTGAAGCGGCTATCGTTCGCTCAAGTCCATGTAAATAGTTCGAACGATTTTTGGAGTAACGTCATATTCTGTGACGAAAGCAAGATGATGCTATTCTACAACGATGGGCCATCCAGAGTCTGGAGAAAGCCACTAACAGCGTTGGAAAACCGCAATATTATTCCAACCGTTAAATTCGGAAAACTATCAGTGATGGTGTGGGGGTGTATTTCGAGCAAGGGTGTAGGAGATTTGACCTTCATTGAGAATACCATGGATGCTAGACAATATCTGAGCATTTTACAGACACATCTCGTCAGTAGTGCACAGAAATTTGGATTCTATGAGGACAATAAGCCAATTTTTAAATTTTACCAGGACAATGACCCGAAGCATAAAGCTCATATGGTAAGAGTTTGGCTGTTGTACAACTGTGGAAAGGTGTTAGACACTCCACCACAAAGTCCAGATATGAATCCAATAGAAAATGTGTGGTCATATTTGAAAAAAAAAGTCGCAAAGCGGAGTCCAAAATCAAAAACTGATTTAAAAGCTGCTGTACTGGAAGAATGGCAGAAGATTCCAGAAACATACATACAAAACCTTATTGTTTCAATGAAACGGCGATTGCAGGCTGTATGTGACGCTAATGGCAGCCACACAAAGTATTAAAAAAAAATATTCCTGTTTTTTTAACATTGTTATTTAGTAATAAAGTTTCGTGTAAAAACACTTTATTGACAGCATAAAATTTGAATGTTTTTAGTTTTTTAATTTTATAAAATGTTTGGGTAATGTTATTTAACAATTCTTTTTGCCATTAAGTTCTAGGAAAAATATAGAATCGAAATAAATTAGAATTGAAAAAAAATTCTCACTTTTAGGTACATTTATTTTCAACTAAACCCAAAAAATTAGTTTTTTTTTGTTAGTAAAAACACTTTATTGACATACTGTATATAAGTAAACATAAACCTTCAATCATTTTAATTTTACTCTTATAGGTAACTAATATTTAAGAAACTTTGTGGACTGTAGAAAATACTCTGTAGAAAAGCAAATTAAATAAAATAACATTCATATATCCTAAACATAGTGTTATTATTTCAAGTTTCCTGCTTATTTTCTTTATAAAAATTGCTTCAGTTTCCCCCCATGTAGTGAAACATTCTCATTATGTGAGGCAACTCATTAAATTAAGGCAAAAACACGTCCTTACTCACACACTGAAAGGTATTTCATAAGCACCGTTAAGTAATTAGAAAAGTGCCGCCGTATTCCAATTAGCAAAAAGTTCTATGACAATTGCAGTTTTTCATGTTGAAATTATCCGTCCAGCAGCACCTTGAGCACGAAGCACACTTGAACACAAAAATGTTAAACCTGCAGCACCTCGCCAAATGCCATGTCGATGTGCGCCATCAAACTTCCGACAACTGCGACAAGTGCTCTACATTTTTAATTGCGCTGCAATAAAACGGAACAAAGTACTCACATAGTCAGTATTGTTTTACATTTATTCATTCAAAAATTTGGTACACCACTCAGAATTCGTTCTATTCGTGTTACCGAGCGATCATCGAAGCGCCACGCCCACAAAACGAGTGATAAAATCACATCGCAAAGAGCATCACGCAAATCCTCACGCTGCCGAATAAAACGATTCATCTCATCAACGCGGGTGTGACTTGCTTTCAGAAAGTGTGAAAGTAAGTGAAGACTGACTACAGAAATGATCCTGTGAAGTATAGTCTTAACTTTTCAATGCCCACCAAAATGCTCTATACTCCACTCGACCAAGAACCAATTGGGAATTCTAAGAAAGCGAAAGAAAAATAAACAAATCGTACAGGGGTGTTGTTGTGCGCTCACGTTCTATTACGTCATGTATGCGACCGCTGCTTGTTAGAATTATGTGCGGGCGACGATCAGTAGTGAACGATTTCAGTTGTTTGTGTATATTGAAACACAGTTTTTAAAAATTGATTAAAAATAAGAAAACGAAAAAATCACTTGGCAGCGGTGGGATTCGAACCCACGCCTCCGAAGAGACTGGTGCCTTAAACCAGCGCCTTAGACCGCTCGGCCACGCTACCTGTTGGCTGCGTTGTGTCAAATGCGCTATAACAGAGAACGCAAACGAGAGAACAAGCATAACACTGCGCATTCGTTGAATTTTCGTTGCTTTTTGCTTGTTTGACGATGACGTAACGAAAGGCCGCAGTACTATTGAAGTTGAACTATTTTCCATGGGACGGAGACACAGGGCAACACCTTGAGTTTATTTAGCTTGCCACACTGCGGCGCATATAAATGCGCTCATTGGGGAAAATGCCAATGAAACGAAATCAATTTCTAGCGTATTCTTGGCTATATTGAAGAGCTCTGTATTAAAATATTTATTATTTTTACAAAACTGTCAGCGTTTTTGCTAAGACGGTTAGAAAATGCGTTTAAAATTCAAATGAAAATGCGAATTTATGCGTGACGTGCGAGGGACGTGTTGAGGGGGCAAGCCAAACGAGTCCCTCACATGTGCAACCGCAGCAACAATTTGCCGTCGCCTTGTTATTGTTCTTGTCTGCCGTCTGATGTTGGTTTGCTGCAGCCATAAACTGAAGCCGGCGACAGGCAACTCTATGTGAGAGGCACTCGAGGGTACATCCGCAATGAAATTAGAAAATTGCAATAAAAATCTTTGCACGGGCGACAGCCAAAACAAAAACAAAGTCTGCGGTTTTCCTAGGGCGAGTCTCAGCTCATGTACAAGGGTGTGGTGCGGCGTGTCCTGAGTTGTGGGTTGAGGGTTGGGGGTGGTGCGGTGGTGCGGGCAACATTTGCGGTTTCATTAAAATGCCAGCAAAGGTCTGCAAAAAGCAGCCGCAGCCGCGTCAGCATACAAAATATTTAGCCACACACGTGAATTTCCACAAATTTAAGGCGCTTGGCATGCAAATAATTGCAAAGCTGTAAATTTTTAATGCCAGACGCGTGTAAAACGCAAAAAATCACGTACAGCAACCAATTGGGCAGCAAGCGGGGACAAAATGCTAATGGAGTTAATTGTGGGCATTACCTGGAATCCAATGAATTTCCTGGGACATGTCCGAGTGAGCCTTAAATTAAATTTCAAACAATTGACTAACCGAAATGACAAAGCAATCGAACAAAGGACAGTTGTGGGCACATTCCGGGCGCTTTCTAGGCGACAGACAAGACAATTGAAATGCAAGGCGGTGGCGGCCTCTGAAGTTGCACGAAATAGAAATAAGTGAAAACTTAATGAATGAGTTGACAAAATAGTTCAGCTCTTACATTGCTTAATTAGAAAATTTGTGCGCATTTTGAGAATCATTTAATTTCATTTCATTTAAAGGCAAAGTTCTCTTAATATCATTCGGTTCATGAGACGCACAAAAATGTTAACACAAATTATATGAAAAATACGTCGATATTCAATGAAAAGCAGTTCACATTACTACGATATTGGGCGACGCCACGAAGCATGGTAGCGTGGCCGAGCGGTCTAAGGCGCTGGTTTAAGGCACCAGTCTCCTCGGAGGCGTGGGTTCGAATCCCACCGCTGCCAAGTGCTTTTTTTATTCTTGTTAAAAACCTGTTTGCATAACTGAAATTGTCTGCTGCTGATCATCGCTCGCACAAATTATGGACTCGTTTGCTTAGAATCAGAGGCAATGACAAAACGTAATAAACACGCGGACGGCATAGCAACCCCCGTACGATTAATTTATTTTTTCATTCGCTCTCGTGCAATTCCCAATCGGTTCTTGGTTGAGTGGCGTATAGAGCATTTTGGTGGGCATTGAAAAATTAAGACTATACTTCACAGGATCATTTCTGTAGTCAGTCTTCACTTACTTTCACACTTTCTGAAAGCAAGTCACACCCGCGTTGATGAGATGAATCGTTTTATTCGGCAGCGTGAGGATTTGCGTGATGCCCTTTGCGATGTGATTTTATCACTCGTTTTGTGGGCGTGGCGCTTCGATGATCGCTCGGTAACACGAATAGAACGAATTCTGAGTGGTGTACCATCCTTTTAATGAATCAATTTAAAGTTAAAAACTATTGCGTAGATAAATAGCTAAACAGTTAGCAGTTGTTTAAATTATGTTAAATGCGAACTGTAAAAAGTGCGTTAGAACTTTTCTATTGAAAAATGCGATTACCATTTCGTGAAAAGTTTCTTTTACGTGAGGAAGCTGTAAGCATTCACTCACTCTCACTCCTCCGTTCCAATGTGTTATTGGCAATATTTCATAGGATGCCGTAAACCCATCCCCCAATGTGTACCCACCTTATACATAGTGCTGTTGTAGAAAATTTGTATGTCGTTGTAACTTTCAGTCTGGAATCAGCGGAAAGTGGGAAGTTGGGGAAAGTCTCTTGGCACATAAGTTTTGTGCACGTTAAGTACTTTTTCATAAGCATCGCTTGTTGTTGCCTGGGAAGAACCTCTGCCCATGCTCCTGCGCCCCCCATGCCTCGGGGGCATAATATGCACATGCAACAAGGGCAACAAATAATACAGACTGGCAATAAAAGTACGATACATATTCAAGAACCAAAAAAAGTTTAAAAAAAATTCCAAATAGTTTCTAGCTACTTTTTTCAGAGTTTGCAAATGGCGCGCGCGATAGTGGGAGAGAAGCACGAGATGAAAAGGGCAATGTTAAATTACTTTCAGAGTATTTGTAAGGGTTTATCGTTTTTTTTTTTTTGTGTGCCAAAGTTTAGGGCACTAAATTAAGCGATTACAAAAAGCTATTGTTGATAATAGAATTCATAAATTGATATCTCAAGTATAGTTTATCAACTTACTACGCTTTAAGATTTGTTATTTACTTAGCAGACTTGTTTTAAATGTTGCAAATCAAAAATAATATTTCCATTCCAATTTCCATGTAAGTTATTTATTAACTTAGCACGAAAGTAAACTTTGCTGTAGAACTTTATTCTTTATAGATTTTAATGGTCATGCCAAAAGTATGCAATTAGTTTCGATCAGCGCTGCCTTTAAAGAGCGGGGTAAGAGTATGCAATAAAATATTGTAACTGTATTATTAGACTAATGACAATTAAACAACGCTTAATACGAATATTTGTAAGCTAATTGAGGAAACTTAAAAAATATATATTTTTATTGACTGCCTCAAAATAATAGCATCAATTGAGATTGTTTCTAGAACGTGTAGAAATTGATAATAACTAGTTCGCCATTTTTTAGATTTTCAAAATCGTAATCTAACAGAAAAATTTAAAGTGTCGTTATGGATTATAGGGAAATTATTATATCCAATATAGAGATAATAATATGGTATTATATTTTATGCTGTGTAAGCTGTTAATTGTTGTTGGTTTACTTGAGTCGAGCAATTTTTATTGGGAACTTAGGAATGTTAACAATAAGAGTCGCTAGTTTACCATCTCCACTTACTTCTTATTTATTTTGATTTTTTTTTTAATATTCTAACACAAAACTTATCCGTCGACAGTTTAGACTTACTTCTATGCTACCTATTCGACATTCACACATACATAGTTCCAAATATGTGTGTCTATGTTTATTTGATTCTAAAAAAGTTGTTTGGGGCAGCCCAGGCATAAAAAAAAAAAAAAACGAAGAAGCAACTTCTTTTCTTTGGCATTTTTCGTTGATCTTTGGCCACCGGCAGCATGCGGAGCTGCTGCCTGAAGCCACTTTGATTGCCTCGCACGTAGCGTCATTTTTGACATTTAATTATGGTTGCCTCTGCTACAGAGTACAGTTAGAGTAGGACTACGAGTACTCGCAGTGGTCTTTACATTCGTATACGTATTGTTGGGCGCCTATATGAAGCTAGTAAGCTGTAAACTCGATTTCATGGCTCGTCTGAAAGGTGCTGCCATTGCTCCAATGTTGCTATTGCGCCAGGTAACTTGACGCATCTCCAATGCGTGCTACGTGTGCATCAGCTACCCCCCTTTGCTAGGGACGTGCGTTGTCAAAACTGACTCTTCAAAAAAAAAAAATGTTGTGTTGGCTTTTCTTTGTGGAGACTCTGCTGCTGGACAAAGCTGTCCCTGCTGGCGATTTATGAAAAAATAGCAGGCACGTGACGTGAAACGGCAAAGGATTTTGGGTTGACAGTGCACTGGCCACTCTCACTATCCGTCTCTGCCGGCTGCTGGACAATTGCGTCTAAATTAATTATCAAGGATAACGGCGCATAAGGTTCGCCGGCTCGCATTGTGTCCTGTGTCTGGTGTCTGGTGCTTTGGCTAATTCAATTATGTGAGCCGGCGGGTAGCTGAGAAATTAAAAACGGCTTAGGCCAAGTTAATGCAGACTTAAGCGCGTTAATTAAAAGCCAGTTGATATGTTCATATACCCAAGCCCCCTTACTCTGTGCCCCCGGGCCACAACATCAGCTGCAATTGCAGCAGGGCAAAGGTTTACGGCCAGTTCAACCCTCGCCCCCTTCCTTGCAAAACTCATTGAAAAGAAAGTCTTAAACTGAGAGCCACCCCGTAGCAGCTGGGGGGGTAAGCGGAGGGCGACCAATAAAATTGCCCGCTAAAATCAGGAACTGCAAATCTCTTGAGAATAATTTGAAGCATAGCGAAAGCCAAAGATGCCGCCACGGAATCCTCCACATTAAAATATGATGAGCTCGGAAAAACGGAAACGAACAAATGAAAAACAAAGTTCATAAAAATGCTGTAAAGAAACGCGAAGCAGTAACCAACGTCAAGGTGTGTGCGAGATGTGGCAGCAGAATAAGAGAAATGGGCGGGGCAATAGTACAAAAAATAATCAACATAAAAACGAAAATAATTTGCAATATTATCAGGGACTGCACAACATGCTGTACAATGGGGTCAAACAGCGCAGCAACTAAGCAAAAATTAAAGAATACAATTTTAATTAAATTAAATAATAATAATATGGCGAAAAGTTTCCAATATATTCAGAAACACCTGAAATACTTAATCATATAATATAATATAATATTTATAAAGTTGTAAAACGAACTTCCAATATAATTATTTTATTTATTAAATATTTTATGCAGCTACAACTAAACGAGTAAATGAGTTTGAATTTTATAAAACCCATATTTGGCTTTATTTCAAATATGTTAATCAAGTCCATTGTGCTGGTTAAAATGCCCCAAATGGTGGCTGCCAACAGTTGAACAATCTCTTATTCCCAGTTTTGGTTGGACAGTAATTGAAGTTTGGTGCGCTCTCAAACAAAATGCAAATGAAATTTGTTTTTAATCAAGCACACGCTTCAAACCACGACAAAAAAAACTAACAACAAAATTCATAACAAAACGAAAAAAAAAAAGGTTTTCTAGCGGGGGTCGCTTCAGGGTCGCTTGAGTCAGCTGCTTGGCGCGTGGCCCCGGCCACCGGCAAAGCAAATCAATTAAAGGGCCGCATTTCAAACACACAAAGCGCATTTTGTTGACCTCTAAGTCCAAAAATCAATTGGCTGCTGTCCACTCAACAAACTCAGGGGTCAAGATAATGCATAGATAAAGACAAAACGTGATCACAGCTCCATCAATTCTTCAAGCTGCGTGCATCTACAAACCGGTCGCTGTAGCGAGTGATTGGATCTATAGATCACAGCCGGACGGCAGAGACAAGCGAAGAGCGAGGCAGATGGGGCCGATCAAGTTCAAAGTCATTTGACAGCTTCCGTCGCCGCTGGCACTGACAGATCAGCGATCTTCACATTAACCAACATATATAAGGAGTTGCATTCACCGAGAGCCACAGCACACTGCGTCTACCCATCGTAGCACAAACATCAAGACATTATGGTAGGCAGCCACTCACTCAGATATACTTTCGTATGCCAGCTAATATCATCTTACATTACAGAAATTCGTGATCATTGCCGTTGCCTTCCTGGCCTGCGCCTTCGCCGATGTTTCGGAATTAGCCCAGCCCGGCTATGACTACCCACAGCCGGCACCACCAGCGCCCGCACCAGTGGAGACCTACATTCCGCCCGCACCCCCAGCACCACCAGCGCCCGAATACATCCCACCGGCACCAGCTGCACCGCTACCGGAGTACATCCCACCCGCACCCGTGGCTGCCCCGGCTGATGCCTACATTCCGCCTGCTGCCGCGGAGCCCGTCATCGAGGAGATCGAGCAGCCCGCTCAGGATGGCTACCGTTATAAGACTGTGCGTCGCCGTGTCTTCCGTCACCGCAATTAAAATGTGATCCGCTCTGAATTGAAGAAGAGTCTTGCCTGTATTTTGTTGTTATCGCTGGACTCGAGTGTGTTGGAAGCTGGCACCAAGCAAATCTAGAGCAAAGAAGTTATTGTAACTGTAAAATTGTTGTCTTGTATTTTCTTTGATATACATCAAAGGATCTCGAACAGGATAATGTAACTAAAGTTAATTATTAGCTATGAATAAATATACAAATTCTAAAATACATTTAAAACCTATAGAGTATTCACATTTTTATTGACGCGTCGTTCTTAGAGCCTATAAGAGCTGGATACTTGAACATTAGAAAGTAGATCCTCCTAGTGCCTACGAATCACGAGGTGTACGATAATTAATAACAGTATCGTACAATAAAATTTACTATAGAAAATGTCATCCAGATCGATTCAGAAACACAGAAGTTACTAAAAAAAATTACGTCAGGTATTCACACATGCATAAAGAGACGTTGTATGCTTTGATGATATCATTAATCAGTGATATCTTCATTATGATATTTATTAATTGGTATAGGATCACTTTATTCCAAGGTTAACAATGATTAAAGAGCCATTTTAAAGATTAGTGAGGTTCGTTTTTCAGGTCAAGTTAATATAACTAGGAAACTCGAAGACAAACACTCATCTAACAAGGTCTCTACCGTTGAATGATTTAAGAAAACAGATTTTGGCAGCTAAATTAAGTGGCATTTGATATATATTTGGAAGGCAGGTCATGAATATATCCAGAATATGGTACATTTTCGTTGTGGAGCGGTTGTCGTCTAAATTCTACTTCACATTTCGCAAAGATTTTAGTGTCAGGTCCATAAACAACTCAATTTTCCATTCATTGGGAAAGCACTTCGTTTCCACTTCCGCTGAGTGGCTGGCATCGATAAGTTGCCGCAGCATCCACATCTCGTCCTGGCCCGTAGTTGTCGTTTATAAAACGCTTAACATTCGTGACATATTTCGCATTTGGCTGTGCGTCGTGCACAGAAATTTATAGACTTTATCCATTAGGAAAACAATTACGACTGCAAACAATGGCCCTGTCCGAGGCTGGCCAATGTCCAATGGTGGCAGCGACTCCCTGGTCCGGCCATATGTTGCAATTGCGTTTGGGATGTGCGCCATTCTCGACGCCGTCTTCATCCTCTTTTAGGTTCATTGTCCTTGTCGGCGCGTAAGAAAAAATATATATTTTCTTATTATTTTGCCGCAGAATATGCGACTTTCCTGGACGGGGTCGGGTCTCTGGCTTCTTGGCTGCCGCTGCCGCTGCCGCTGTTGCTGCTGTTGCTGCAACACAAATCCAATTACCTTCAAAATAATAAACTTATGTACATACCAAAAGCAAAAGCAAAAGCAAAATGCCAATGCTAAGCATAAGAATGAGCATGGGATAGCTCTCTCACACTTACACACCACCACACACCCCCACACCCCCACACACCCACACACACACACACCACTCACATTTTATCAACTGTTGATAGACTCCATGGGGAATTTTCGTATGTCACACTATGGCGACAAAGGCGGCTGCGGCTTGCAGCTGCGGAGGTTGAGGGTACGCCAAATGAGGAGCAGGGTGTGAGCAGGGGGCGTGTGTCTGCCGCAGTTTTGTTTTTATACCCGTACCTTAGCCCGACCCATAAGGGTATACATTGTCAAGATGCTTAAAGACACTACGAACTCTGCTTCAGTTTTAAATATTAGTGCAATATTCTTGACATTTTTAAAAGGAAAACAAAATTTGTCAAGAAAATCATTAGAAAATCTCACAAATTTCTAACATTTCGTTCTCCTACAACTTAGGTAGACATAATTTATTCTAGTGTTAATATATAGGCCCAGTTAATAACAGTATTAACGGGCTGCAATTACTGGGTGTCTGTTAGTCAAGTCTACAGACTTGCTGATTTGCTTTACTTTCTTTTTGTTCCCTTGCAGTCTTTGATCCTCATTGTACCGCGCCGTCCTGTCTGCTGATTTCCACAGCTTGTTTGCTGCTCATTATTCGCCTGGCAGCAAAATGCACGAGCGCAAAATAATTTCGCCACTTGCATGTCATCAGCATAAACTGGGTGCAAAATATGTGGCATCCATTGGCGACGTCCACAACGAGGACCGTTGGCGGCGTTGGCCAAAGGAAATTCGTTTTAGAGCAAAGTCAACAGCAATTGGCCAAATGACTTGTAAGGGTTTCTGCCATGTCACTGCAGATACAGCTGAAGCGAGACAGAGAGAGAGAGCGAGGTAGAGAGAGAGGAGCTAAAACAAGGATATAAACTAAAGCTGGAAGAGCAGCCTCCCTCATCGACGCAGGACTGCCTCATATCCTTTCAGACTGGCAAACAGTTTATTGAATTCGCATATTTTCCCATTTTGCATTATGGCCAACAAGTTGGCTCCTTTGTTTTTTAGCAAATTTTTGCCTCATGCTGTTTGATTTTGTAATCGAGGATTTGTTTGTTTTTTTCTTTTCTGTTGTGGGGGGTACATATTTCCTTCTTTTTTTTTTGCCTTGAATGTTTTAGCCATTTTTTGGGTAGCTCAAATTGGTCTGGTCGTTGAATTGACCTTTTTACTGCACTGGCGATAGAGACGATGGCAGTCTGAATGCCGGTGACATGTGTTTGGCCTTGAGCGGTTTGTTTAGGGTTTTTGTGGTAAACATATTGGATGGGCATGACTCTTAGGCATGGCAATGGTCTGTGGCATGTTAAGTGGAAGTAAAGTGAGTTGAGTTGATTGCCAAAACTTGCTAAGGGTTGACCTGTTGGATTGCTCAATATGCTTTGAATCGATTTTCAGTATAGATTTAAGAATGGGCTGTGCTTTCTTTAAACTAAATTCCGCTGTAGACATCAATTACTGGGAATATATTTGAGACATATTTTAAGCTTTTTAATGTTACTTCCAATTAATATTAACTTATGTATTCCTATTTATTCATAACTTAATATAAATGCAAACATGTTTTATCAAGTGTTCCCCTGTTAGAAGCAGCACCTAAAGAACTAAAGAATTAAAAACAGGTTAAAGTAAGAGAGAGGTAGAAAGGCTAAGTAGATTTTTAATACAACTTGTTAATATAAACCTGATAAACAGAGATACAAGATTTTTTGAGTTAATGAGAATCGAATGGCATTTAATATGAAGCGAAGAAAACGGAACTATCAAAAAAAGTGAAGCAATCGATAACAGCCTCTATTAAAAGCAGCCACGGCAGATATTACCCGGCCTTGCCCGAGAATCACTTTTCCACTTTTATGCTTTGTTAAAGGTTTATGAAATTCTTAGTTTGCTTAAAAAGTTTATTACGCTTGTTTAGGTTTTAAAATTGTTTAACAAAACAAATTCTTGAAAATTCTCTTCATCTTTTCTTCGTTTATCACATTAGTCAACAAAATTCGTGGAGTTCACAGAGCCGCTGCTTAGTTGCGGTGACGGAAGACACGACGGCGGACAGTCTTGTAGCGGTAGCCATCCTGAGCGGGCTGCTCGATCTCCTCGATGATGGGCTGCTCAGCCTGGATGGGGGCAGCAGGAGGGGGAATGTAGGTATTGACGGGAGCTACGGGAGCTGCAGGAGGTGGAATGTAGGTGTTCTTGGGTGCTGGTGGTGGTGGTGGTGGTGGGGGTGGGATGTAGGCCTTGGCTGGAGCGGCTGGGGGAGGAATGTATGCCTTGGCCGGAGCAGGAGGAGGAGGGATATAGGTGTTCTTTGGTGCCGGTGGTGGTGGTGGAGGTGGTGGGGGAATATAGGCAGGTGCTGGTGCTGGCGCCGCCGGCTGCGGATAATCGTAACCCTGACCACCCAGCTCCGAAACGTCCGCCATGGCGCAGGCCAAAAAGGCAACGGCAATGATCAGGAATTTCTGTGAATCGATAGATTTATTTAAATGTTTCTGTAGTCCTTTAATGATCCAATGATGCAATTTACCATGTCGGATTGCTTGGCTTTTTGCTGTGCTTGCTGCTTGAATCACCAGTCGCTGTGTACTGCTGAACTCTAAGCCTGCTGCGGTTTTTATAGCCCATAGTTGAACCTCGGGTCAGCAGCAGCCGCTGCAGCCGCAAATTAATTGCGCGATGCCACGCTATCTGTGTATGCCCTCAAGTGCCGCGAGCTACGCTTGAGATATGGTCTCAGCTCGAGTCGGAAGAGGGGCGCTCAATGCCAAGTGGTTGGACGGGTTTCTTACTCCAACACCTTAAGACAATGCAATGAAGCATTGCGCCGTTTCATCGAGGGGGGGGGAGGGGGGGGGTCAGCTCTTGGGACCTAAAGCTTCTTTAATTAGATCAAACAAAAAATAACATTTTGACCATTTACATATGAATGTCGTTAGTTATTGTGTTGCTTCTATTTCGTGTTTGAGTGGAGTCTCTTAACTTTTTGCTTTTTGACGCTTCGAAGCTCTTGAGCTTGATGTATGTTCGTGGGTCACTCGCACTATTAGCGATGTTTTTTCTTCTTCTGTATTTTCATATTGCTCACATGTTTTTGTTGTCTTTGGCGTATTGGCTTTGTTATGGTTATTAGATGAATTATCTGCATAAAAAGGCAAAATAAATTGGCCAGCTGCTTCGGAAATATGTGTCGTATGTCTCTTCCTGTCCTTAACTTTGTGTGCTGACACGAATTTACGTAGACACTATGAAGGAACTTTGACTCATTTATAAGGCGCTTGAATGTTAATATAAATTTATCAAATGGAAAACCAAAGATCCCTGAGATTTGTATACTGAATTCTATTAAGCCACAAATTTGCAAATAACTTACATTAATATATAAATCTATAACAATTAATTAACTTTAAATTATTTGTCGCAGCTGAGGCCGCCGTTGCAGCAGCCTATACCAATCCATGTTGTTTATGAGAAGATATTAATTATGACTTTCGAATAAGACAGTAGCACAAGGGTATCTAGGGTTCGGCATAAAATACGTTTTCTTTTCTTATTATTATTATTTTATAATGGCTTTAGCTTTCAATGTTTCTTGTATTATTTTAAATTTGATTTAATCTGGTTACTCGTTTTTTCCTGTTTTTTTTCATTTTTTTTTTAAGCTCGCAATGCTGATTTATGTTTAGCAAATGAGCTTTCAGCCTATGGCATCATTTTAAATTAATGCTTAAATTAATAACAATTGATTTTGTATTGTTTTTTTTTTGTTTTCATTTTTCTTTCGCTTTATTGCTGCTGCTTTTGCTGGTCGGCTAGTTAATTGCCGAGAATCGTATTTGCCTAATTTATTTTCCCGGCGAATGCCAGGCATATTAAATAGATTTCGGTTCCCAGCTGTTTGCATAATATGAATACCAATTAGGATTTGTGTCTAACATAATGAAAGTGTTAATATGCTGGCAAGTATTCCAGCGCATAAATCCTAAATTATCGAAATAGGGAAATAAAATTTAAATATGTGCTGGAAGGTTCAGATGCACAGCTGCGGAATTCGATCATAAACTAAACGATTTGATTTGGTGTGGAGAATTAGCTCAGGAGCTTTTAATATTGACTAGCATTTGGAATATTTGCAGTCCCGGACGTAGAGTCTATACAGAAAACTAAAAGAATATAGAAACGTCTAAAATATAATATATATATCTCTACCTATTTCTATAACTGGCCACGCCGAGCACAGAGGTTGTAAAACACGCGCAGATCAAGTTTATTTTAATATTTTCATATTTCCGACCCGAACTCTGAACTCTGACTTAATTATATCCGCATATTTCAAAGATAAAGCCTTGATTTAAAATCTTTTAAATTAAGTTCTTGCAAAACATCTTTATTAACTGAACACCAAGCAGACGTTCCAACAATAAATTTCGATAGAGTATTCCGGACTTCGGCACAGGGTATCCTCTAGTCGATTGCCTTTGGAATTTGTTTTGTTTCTAAATCATGATGGATCATTTCCCATTTGTGCACTGAAGCAAACTATATTTATTTATTTATTTATTTATTAATGGTCGACAAAACGAGTGTCTTCCTCATTATTCAAAAGGTTGTACAATATAAGTATATTCTAAAAGCCTAGTTAAAGGATACAATTTTCTAAATAGCATCACCGACCGATGGAGGTGTTTTATTTGCCAGTCCGGCCAGCTGTGCCCCTTTTCACAGCTAATTTTGTCAGTGACGCTATTAGAGCCTACATCTAAGCAGAAGGTTGTAAGTAGGAAAAAAGTGATCTCAAGTGAAATTAAAAATAATCTTAATTTGCTAAATTAATAAAGAAAATACAATAAATAGGAAAAAAGAAAGTAAGAAAATTGTTAATAAAGTAAAGCAATGTAAGTTAGATAAAGAGTGTTAAGTGGATAGGACAAAGAGAAAAGTATTGGGAAATCACCGACACGGTGGGGGAAAATTTTTCAGCCTGTCCGGCTAGCTATGCCCCTGCTCATAGCTGGGAATGGTCAGCGACTTCCCGAAGGTATCCTGAAAGCAACGATTTTATTAGGGGTAGAGACAGTTCGGTAGAGAAAACGTGATGCAAACTATTATAATTTTTACATAGCACGCGAAAAGAATTGTGCATAGCGTAATCAGTTGTGCACGTAGATAGTAATAAGGGGCGATAATTTCTGGTTGGTCTAGCCGGAACAGAGAATTGAAGACGCCCTAGCAGAAAAGGAGAATCAATGTCGCCAATAATCAACTTATGTAGAAGGACAACACCGAGAATTGTCCTACGGTTGATTAACGACGGAAGGTTGAGAAGAAGCAGTCTGCTGGAGTAGGACGGCAACCGAAGATTAGGGTCCCAATTTAAACCTCGTAAGGCAAAAAGCAGAAATTGCTTCTGAACAGATTCAATACGATCCTGGCTGTTGATATACTGTGGAGACCAGATGCAAGAGCAGTATTCAAGGATAGGGCGAACAAGAGAGATGTACAGAAGTTTTGTTATAAAAGGATCGTTAAACTCTTTAGACCATCGTTTAATGAATCCAAGTACACCTTTTGCCTCATTAACAATGGTATCTATATGAAGATTGAAACAGAGTTTAGAATCAAAAATAACGCCAAGATCCTTAACTGTTAGTATACGTTGCAAAGGGATATTGTCGATTGTATAACTAACAAGATAAGGTGTAGTACGATTAAAAGTCATAAACATACACTTTGAACAATTTAGATGCAATTGATTGGCCGAACACCAAAGTTGCATAGCGTTCAAATCGTCTTGTAGACGAGAATGATGTAGGGGGTTAGTGTATGATAGAAAAAGTTTGACATCGTCCGCATACATGAGTACACGGGCATGTGATATAACAGAAGGAAGATCATTTATAAAAAGTGTAAAGAGTAAAGGTCCAAGATGACTACCTTGAGGAACACCAGAAGTAACGTGAACCCTTTTAGAGGTAGTCAACCTCAGTATTACTCTTTGGGTCCTACCTTTTAAATAAGAATTAATCCAAAGTAAAAGGGACAGAGGGAAACCTATTCGGTCAAGTTTAAAAAGTAAGATGTCATGGTGCACAGAGTCAAACGCCTTACTGAAGTCAGTGTAAATGACATCAGTTTGCATTTTCGAAAGGAAAGCATCATTTACCAAGGAAGTAAACTCAAGCAGATTGGTCGTAGTTGACCGATTCTTTACGAATCCATGTTGAACAGGGGAAACAACTGATTTGCAGAAATGCTGCAAATTCGAAGTGATTATTTTTTCAAATAATTTAGGAATAGCAGACAGTTTTGCAATGCCCCTGTAATTTTGTATATCAGACTTCCCACCTTTCTTGTGAAGAGGAATGATATAAGATTCTTTCCAAAGAGATGGAAAGACAGAAGTTTCAAGGGATAGATTAAAAAGCTTTAGCAATGGATAGAAAAGGGAAGAACTGCACTCCTTGAGTAGACAACTAGGAATATTGTCCGGCCCAGGAGAGTAAGAAGATTTTAGAGAGTTTATAGCTAATAGGAGAGAGGAGTGTGAAATAATGGGGGGAGGTATAGAACTAGCGGAGGAAATAGTATAAGGGTAAGAATTAGTATTAGGACAGACTGAAGAGTAAGTTGATTGGAAAAAATTAGCAAAGAGGTTAGCAGAATCAATGTCATTGCTAGCTTTATCCATCCCAAGAAAAAAAGAAGATGGCAAAGTTGAAGACTTACGCTTCAAGTTTACAAAATTATAAAACTGTCTCGGATTTCGGGCGAATTGCCTTTTACAACGAATTAGATAATTCTCATAGCATTGAGAATTAAGAAGAAAAAAGTTCGACTTGGCTATGGAATATTTAGCCAAGTCTGTACACGAACCAGACTTTTTAAACTTTTTAAAATATTTGGATTTTACATTTTTTAGATGTGATAATCTGGGAGTAAACCAGGGTGGTTTTGAAAAAGTAGTCGAAGGAATTGACTTAGGAATACACACATCTAAGAGGGAGTTTAGGGTGATATAAAAAGAATTAATAGCTGTATTCATATCAACTGAGTCATATAAGAAAGACCAATCGGTTGAATAAATAAGCTGATTCAGCAAGGAATAATTTCCTTTGCGAAAGCAATAGCGGGGCTTATTGGCTGATGAGCACGAAATGGAAGGATTACAATTTAGCATTGCAATCTCTAAAGTTGGATGATAGACATCCTCAGGAAGAGATAAAGGAGGTGACCTAGACACATTAGAAATAAGGTAGTCGTTAACAAATACAAGGTCAAGTGTTCTATTCATATGATTAGAAATTGAATTGATTTGAAACAACGAAAGATCAAGCATGCAGTCTAAAAAATCGTGCTGTGCTGAGGGCACTAGATAATTTTCAGCAGTGAATAATGACCAAGAGATGTTCGGCAAATTAAAATCACCCAACACCAATAATAGGTCATTATCCCGCACGTGTGAAGAAACTTCTTTAATACAAGTAATATGATTCATATAAACTTGAATATCAGAAGAAGGTGGGACATAAGAGCATGTTACATAGATATTCCGTGTAGGAAAAGACACCTTAACTGAGACAATCTCAGCGTCAGTAGGCGTACTAAAACAGAATAGTTCAGACTGGAGAGTGGCTTTAACGGCAATTAACACCCCACCACCTCGAGTCGGCCGATCATTTCTAAACAAAATAAAGTTATTCGGTAATATCTCAAAATCAGATATGGTTGAGTTTAACCATGTTTCTGAAAATGCTATTATGTCCGAATCGAAGGAAGTGCTGGCAATAAAAAGATTTTTTAGCTTTGAAGTGAGACCTCTGACATTCTGATAATGAATAAAGATTTGGTCAGAAGATGAAGCTAGTTTTTTGGGGCAGAAATGGTACCCTGTATTGAAGGGACTGGAAGGGTGACAGGCTGGTTACGCTTTTTAGGCTTGAACTCATGAACAATCATGTGTGGTGGCCAAAATTTGGGATCACAAATGATTGGGAACATATCATGTGAAACATTTATTTTGAATGATGATATTTCACGAGGGGTGGAGAAATTAAATTTAGTTATTGACACGCTAGCAGAAGATTTGCTAGCAATATAGGCTGCCAATGACTCAGAAGTGGTGTCCGACGAAAGTCGAGACACAAAAACTTGCCTACGAGGGGCAACTACCGTTAAAGTAGGCGCTGATGGGGCTGTAGGTAATACAGGAGTTGGAGGAGCTAACGAGGCACAATGATTGCTTTTAACAATCTGCGCAAGATTGCGCGCAGGTCTACCTTTGCGGCCAGGAGCTGACGGGGCTGAGGCTATTTGATTAATTGGGACGGAATCAGGTACGGGCTCTACTGGGTCTAGTACAGGGCTTGAAGCCGGGGTAATTGGACAGTCGCTTGGAGAAGGCGATAAAGACAACATTGGAGATACCTCCAAGTTGCTAGGAAAAGACAAGAAAGTCTTAGGAGTCTGAACAGACGTAGAGGGCAATTGCAAAAGTTGAGGCTCCAACCGGCGATTGGTTGGAGACTCAAATTTATATTTGCCTAGCAAATCGAAACTCGAGTCAAAATTACTCGAGAGCTGCTTAGCCACATTATTTAATTTTAAGAATTGACTTCTCACAGAATTATACATTCTGGAGAAATCAATTTGCTTGTCGATGCATTCTGGGCACGACCAACGCAAGCCACCGCAGCCCTTCTTGGCAATAGCAGCGATCTTGTCGCAATCACGCCCAGTGAGACCTGCACATTTAGCATGCATCATATTCTCACACAGCCAGCAATTAACAAATTGCGGCAGTGCAGAATCGTCAGTCTGCTTGAACGTGCACGGTTTCTTACAGCACGACATAATTATTAAATGCACAAGCAACTTGCGAGAGCGCAGAGCAAAACGAAACGAAAACGGTGCACAAGTAAACACTCAAAAAACAATTATTCGTACACAAACAAATTGTTTGGTGCGAAAAGCAATAGAAAGAAATTTGTGAGAGCGCGATGCACAAGCAGAAAGTATGCAGCGAACACACGCACAAACAAGTGTATGCACAGGGGAGCACAAAGGCAAAAGACTTAAAACAGCCAATAACAACAAACACGGAACTGACGCCGCGTTTTATAAAATGTAATAATTAACAGACACGCTGCACAACAGATGACACTTTGCACAGTTTATAAAAGCTTTTTAAATAAAGCACCGAAAAATGCAAAATTTTGAAATATAAAGCAAGATAAAAGCGCAAAAATATATAAAAATCTTGGAGCACAAGTAAAACACGTCAATCACTCTCAACTGAGAACTCTCTCTATATTTTGTACAAACTTAATATCTTTTTATTGAATCAACTTCTTGTCATCGCCTAAAATTTAGGGATCGGTTCGTTTACTGCTTAACGACGGCGACGGATCACACGGCGCACGGTCTTGTAGCGGTAACCATCGGCAGAGATGGGCTCGATTTCCTCCAGAACGGGCTGGGGAGCCAGAACTGGGGCGGGAGCAGACCTGATTGGAGCTGGAGCGGGAGCAGCTGGTGGAATGTATTGGTTGACTGGGGCTGGAGCGGGAGCAACCCTGATGGGAGCTGGGGCGGGAGCTGGAGCCGCTGGTGGGATGTACTGGTTGACTGGGGCTGGTGCAGGAGCAACTCTGATGGGAGCTGGAGCTGGAGCCTCGATACGGATGGGTGCTGGTGCTGGAGCGGGCGCCTCAACCTGAATGGGAGCTGGAGCTGGGGCGGGCACATCCACGGCCGGTGGAATGTAGGTGTTCACAGGCAATGGTGCAGGAGCAGCCTTAATGGGCAAAGGAGCTGGTGCCACGGGAGCTGGGGCTGGTGCCACTGGGGCGTAATTGTAGCCCGACAGGTGCGACACATCGGCGTGGGCAACGGCCAAAAGGGCGAAGGCGACAACAAGAAGCTTCTGTAAGCAAAATTGAAAGGATTAGTCCTGATTGAGTTACTCCAATTGTCAGATACTGCTGCAGCTATTGCTGCTATTAACGCTTCACCTACCATTTTGAGCGTGTTACTTGGAACGTTTAGGTAGCTAGTATATCTCTGACAAGCCGAGCCGGGAGTATTTATATGAAACTGTGCGCGGTGCTGAGTCCGAAGACGAACGCGATGAAGAATTGCGCACATTATAGGCTCTTAATATGCCAGAAACCAGAATTTTATTGTCAACAGCTGTTTACACAAAAACTAATGGAGTGTAGGGTATCTTATATGGTTGGTGGGGTTCAACAATTTGACGGTTGTTGTAGATAGCATGAGCCGGTATTGAGGCTGGTACCTACCTAAAGTTGAAAGGAGAATTTGCAGTTTATTACTTTCTTTTTTCAGTTTTTAATGAACTGCAAAAAATAAATTATTTTGACATTACTTTTTGGAATTATTTGTTGATTTTTTGTTTTGTTTTCTTCTTCATATTAATATGCATTAAATATAGTTTTACTTATGTTTATTAGAGTGAAAAGACCATAATAAAATATTGAAAATAAAATCCTACAATTTTATGTTTCTATATTTAAGTCCTTGTTAATTTGAAGTGTGTTTAAGAATCGGCTTTGTCCAATATCTAGAGACATTCGCACTTGTTTGCCATTGCTTGGATTTAAATGTAATTTGCATAAAACATAAATGCTTTTTTTCTATCAAAGTTAACTACCAACCGAGCCGAGCTGAGCAGAGCTGAGTTGACGGGCAAGCCAAAAGTTGCTGCGATTAGTTTGCTTAATTGACTTTGATAAGGCGGACCAGTATGTTTGAACAAAGACTCAAACTACGGAGCACAGCTGAGATGCGTCTTGCCAAATATGATTCGCTGCCAAGCGGCCCACTGTTGTCGTTTTATGGCCCAGAGTTGTTTTGTATGCGTTAGCTACAGATATAAATGCGTAGCTGAATACACGAGTAGCTGCAGGTCAAAAGTTGAGCGTGTCGCCAGTGCGACCGACGCCAGTTTCTCGCCCCATGTGTCAGCATGAAAAACAAATTAGCCGCCAAATGTGTGTGAGTGGGCGAATGTATGTGTGTATGTGTGTATGTTTGTGTGTGGAAATTCAGTGAAGGACACGCTTTTCTCGCTCTTTTAATTAGACAAATTGCCAATGAGCCACTTTTTGGATTGTCAACGCTTCAGTTTTGCCAAAAAGCATTTGAGACATTTCGGCGTCACTCAATGACTGTGGTTGTGGTTGTTGTTGCTGTTGCTGTGTCGCCATTGTGATTCGAATATATTTTCAGCTCGCGCCAAACAAAAACTACAAAAGCTATGCAAACAAGCACTTAACCCGCTTTTATTTTGACAATTCCATTATTTTCGTAGCGCCAATAAACTGAAACTGCAAAATGTTTTGAACCCACACACGCACAGGCGCACACACACACACACACTTACACATGTCACAGCATGTCATGCAACATTGCGTATACGTAATTTAGTTGTTTGTCTGTTAATAGTTGAAGTTGCAACGCACGCTGCACTGCAATGTATAAAAATTGACGGCACAGAACTATTTGGGGGAATGTTCAGCGAAAATAGCATTTGGAATATTATTTGGGAATGCAGGGCTTCCAAGAATAACAAAGCAATATTGCTGGAATTACAGTTTGCACGATTTGAGAGAAAAAATAAGTTCAAATCATATTGCAATTGAACTTAAATGGGGTAAAGTATGTGAATGCAACAATATTAAGACATTTACTTTGAAGCTTTTGCGGTGGACTTTAATCGGATTAGCAGATTTTGCTTAAAAGCTATGCTGAGGTATTTTATTGTGTGATTTATTGAATAACATTTATTTGAGCTCAAGCTGCCCGCAAAGAGGTTGAAAACTTTTACATAAAATACTCACATCACAATCTTCGATTGTAAATAGGATTCTCAATAAGCTTTTGCATTATTTAAATTAAAATAATAGTTACAGTTACAGGCAATACATTAGGTAAACATTTTTGCAGGATCTCGATAATAATTGGTTTCAACAAGTAACTTTTAAATATTATAATATAATATTAGCTATACAATTTATTTTAAATTGTATGCCTGTATGAAACTCGTTTATACTAAAGAGGCTGTTAGGCTTTCGCATTACTTGATTAGGTTTCTTAATTGCTCCCTTCTTCTGAGCGTTCATTTAGTGGTCCATTTACATATTTTGGCGCACAGTTTCGTTTGATTAACGTCTTTGGCGATTAATTATTTGCTTTGATTCCCATTCAAATGCGAAAAGCGGCTTAATCTAATGCATATTTTACGTTAAGGCTTTCAGTTTCTGCTTTGCCTGTGGCTGCTTTAAATCCAGTTGAGTTTTAGAACACATTTGTTGACCTATCGACCTCCAAGGTCAGTATAATGAACCACACGTTATGGTCTTTTGTTCTCTTAGCAAACTTGATCAAATAAATATTTAAAATGCATTCAACTGGATCAAAATGCAATGAACCAAGCGCAGAAGACCAAACGGAATGCCAACTCTTCAACAGCTGACAACGCTTAACAATCGATTTAAACATTTTTTTAATGCCCGGCGACTGCCAGATCATAAATTCAGGCAACCCCAGGTCGATGCTGGGTCCGTGTTATATGGTCGTATATCCGTGTATTTCGCGAGATAAATCAACGCGCGACAAATTAATGCTGCAAATGAAGTGCAACTGCTGCAACATTCACCGGCAGAGTGGTTGAGGGATGGCTTGGGGTCTGAGTGCAGGTGTAAAACAGGCTCTGATATGGCCACACATATCGAATCGCCGCCCCAATATGCAGTAACAGTAAAAATAAATGAAGGCAGTCAACGTTGCATATTTCAGTGGCCGTGTGGCTGCCACTGCTGATATAATTACGCAGATACTGTCAATATTGTGTGCGTGTGTGTGTGTGCGTGTGTGTGTGTACTCGAAACTGCCGTAAGCTGCGCTTGCCGTAAGCCCAATACCTGCCCGCTCCTTTCATAGGCCTCATCAGTTTTTATATAGTATGCGCCGCATTTTCACTTTTTGCTTTTTTTTTCGTTGTTCGTTTTTGTGTTTTTTTCGTTGTGTCGGGTCCATTTCTTTTGCATACTTTCAGGCGGAGCCGACGCCTGTCTGCTGTGCGATTATTTTGTAATCCATGGCGCCTAAAGCATTGATTACACATTGCACACCTGGACAGCTCGCAGCGAGTGCGGGGTGGACGTACAGCTCGGCCGTAATGCGTGTTAATCAGCATCATTAACTGCTAATTAAGTGCGGTTGCAAATGCAGCCAACTGTCAACTGTTTCCGACCGCCATCGCTGCACCGCTGCTCCGCTGCACCACCTGTCGCCTCTGCGTTTTATTTGGCCAGAGCTGGCTAAGCCGGTCAGCAAAGTGCAATGAGGCTGAAAATTGCACATTTCTCGATTTCAGGCAGATTGTTATTCGAACTAAGGCTTCAATAATCGCAGGTGCTGCTGTGTATGTGTGTGTGTGGATGTAGATAATGGGGCTTCACAAAAAAAGGTGGCAGGCTAAAAATTTTATACTATATTAAATTTAAAATTATAAATTATTTTTATATTCTTATACTTAGCGAGAAATCCGGAGAATATGAATATTTTGCGAAACATTGTAAGCTCCTATTAATACCAGCTAATGCATTGTTAATCTACCCTGCCTGAACAATTTAATGTTTAACTAATTTTGAGAGAATTAAATTGAAGACCAAAAATAATTTGCACCACAAGTTGTATGATTAAGAATTAATAATATCATATGATCCACGAATCTAAAGAGTGCTCTAGAAGATGTTTTTTATACCCTGAACCCATTAAAAATGGTTATAAGGGTATATTGTATTTGTGCAAAATCCAAATGTATGTAACAGGCAGAAGGAAGCATCTCCGACCTCATAAAGTATATAGAGTATATATTATTATTATATATATAGAGTATATATAAAGTATATATTCTTGATCAGCATCAATAGCCGACTCGATCTAGCCATGTCCGTCTGTCTGTCCGTCCGTCCGTCCGTCCGTTTAGATGTAGGTGCTCCTAGTGCCTGCGCAGATCGAGTTTGTTTCCGATAATCGATAACTTTCTCCGTTTTCAAGCAATCGATAATAAATCGATATCGATATCCTGTTTTTTGGGCAATTTTGGTAAGTAATAAGAGATAGAGTCTAAAATAGAATATATATATGCGTTTAATGTTGGAAAAAGATGGTTCAGGGTATCCCCTAGTCGGGAGCTCCCGACTAGAACCTCTTACTTGTTTTCTATAAATTTATGTATATAATTTCATGTATTTCTAATGCTTTGAGCCCTACCAACCGCACTGCACATTCCAGTAACAAATGCCAACTGATTAGTGTGGTCAAGTTCAATAGTCTATAAATTGTAATTGCCTGTCAAAATGGAGCAATGCAATTTCCACAATATCCACCTACTCGTAAATCCCAATGTATATCATTTTCCCAGCTCCGGTCCAGCCGGTTTGTGCGCATCAAAGCGTAAACGCATTTTAATTCATTTAATTAAGCTGCCAATATTTGACCAAAATGCAATTAACAAAATCAGGCTTGGGCTGGCGAACTGGCTTCGCCGCGGCCTGTGTCCCATGTCCTTTGTCCTCTGTCCGGCTTGATGCGGTTGCTATGGCTAGGCCTAGCAAAAAATGATTTGTTTTAATTACGTAATTAATTTGGCAGCTTTTTGTTACCATACCCTGTAGCTATAAATTGAGTCAAGAGGGTGAATCAAGTTGTCCGAATGGCGGAAGCAAATATGTATAACGCCGGTCCGAATCTGGGATTATTCTTGAAGATCTGCCTGTCTCGGAGAGTAACAGCTTGGAGCACCAAATTTGACATTAGTTTAAATTACTAAAGAAAATGGGGGAGTCCGTCGATATCCCCGGTAAACATAGAAGCTTTTCACTGGATAGTCACGTGTGCTTGTAGCCAGTTACAGGGTATCTCCTAGTCGGCTGATCCTAACTAGAAAACTAATATTTATTTTTATTTTTCTTTTTAATTAGTATGCGCCGTGTAATGTGTGTGGCTTCTGCGGCGGGGCTTTAAAGCCGAAACTCAAACACTGTTGCCTGAACCCTGACCCTGGACATCAACTGGGCAGTAAAATCCATTGGAGCCAACGCGTCGTTGCAGACATTTCCCTAATCAAATCGTAAAGACGTCGTCGATGTCATCGCATTTTCTTGTTAATTTTTTTTGGTCTGCGACCCGTCGATATCCTGGCACTTGTGCCCTGTTTCTTGTGTCCTGGCACTTGTTAGCGCAATTGCGGCAGTCGCAGCCACAAGTGGTCAGTGGTCTGATGAGGCCAATGTGCACGACGACCGTGGGCCGTTGGGCGTGGGCGAAACTTTTGAATCTAACGAGAAAAATTTCCACATCATCAAAGCTCATTCCAGCCCATAAATTTCGTGATAAATGTGAGTGCATGCCGAATGCTGTGCGGCAACTCCTTGGGGAGCGGGTGTGCGGCTGAGGCGACTCCTACTCCGGCAACTCCTTGACGGCCGCCTCTTGCTATCTGTCTGCTGATGGCGATGGCGATGGCGATGGCGATGGCAATGCCGATGCGGATACTAAGTTGATTTCTCTTTTCTCTCAAGCATGCATTTGGCTTTCATAAATTTCCAACTTAAATGGATGCTCGCTCCTGGGCGAGAGGCTTGCCTTGAAGTATCCATAAAGTTGAAGCTGCCGGCTGCAGCCGCTGATTGGGACTGTTGCTGATTGAGTGCGGCCGGGCTAGCATTTTGATTGGAAAACAATTTGGTAAAGTTTCAGTTTTTCTTTTCTTTTATTGATATTCTATGGGAAATTCGTTAGGATGCGTTGCGATTTGGGAGCTTCGGATTTACAGGCGGTTACGACGGTAGACGCGACGACGCACAGTCTTGTAGCGGTAGCCATCAGCAGAGGGCTGCTCGATCTCTTCGAGCGACTGCTGTGACTGGTAGGCGGGCGCTGGTGCGGGCTGGAAAACTGGAGCGGATGCGGGAGCAGAGTACTGAACTGGAGCGGGTGCGGGTGCAGAGTACTGGACTGGAGCTGGTGCGGGTGCCGAGTACTGGACTGGAGCTGGTGCGGGCTGGTAGACTGGCGCCGGAGCTGGGATCGACACTGGTGCAGGTGGAATGTAGGTGTTAACTGGAGCGGGTGCGGGTGCCTCGTAGTGGACTGGGGCTGGTGCGGGAGCCTCAATGTGCACTGGAGCAGGAGCGGGCTGGTAGACTGGTGCAGGAGCCTCATAGCGGACGGGAGCGGGAGCGGGAGCGGGTGCAGGTGGCACATAGGTGTTCACAGGGGCGGGTGCCTCATAGTGGACAGGTGCAGGCGCTGGCTGGTAGACCGGAGCGGGCGCTGGCTGGTAGACCGGAGCTGGTGCTGGCTGGTAAACCGGAGCGGGCGCTGGCTGGTAGACCGGAGCGGGCGCTGGCGCTTGATAGTTGTAGCCCGATCCCAAGTGGGAAACATCGGCACTGGCGCAGGCCAGGAAGGCAACGGCAACGACCAAAAATTTCTGTACAAGAAACCGCAATTAAAACCAATCCTCGAGCATGGGGCTCCATCATTCGTTGCTTACCATTTCAGTGATTAGATGACTCTTACTCCACAAGCGCTTGAATGGCTTCTGTCTGCTTGGGGCTCGGCCGTAACTATTTATACCATAGACAGATGAGAGCGGGTACCCAAATACTCCAAGCTGCGTGCGTAAAACTTGCCTCAAAGTCGCTTCTGATGTTTGCTTGGGTGTAGCCAAAGTCGAATATCGAATTGAGTATTCAAGTATGAATATACTCATTAAGACTTGGCAAGACTAACTCGTCTTTGGGGGCCAGTCAATTGACTGATGTGACGCCAATTTTGATCGCAGCTTGTTGGGTAAAGAATTTATTGTGCGTTTCTTAAATTGATGCCATCAAATTGATTTTTATCATCGCTATCAAATATCATAAAGAATAGTTGCTAAAGGGAAATTATAGTTTCAAATGTATTAAATTTACTTTTGGAATTTGGTTGCGTCGGATTTATTTTTGGCAAATGTCTCGTGTAGAGCCGGAAATTTGCAAATTACACTTATCGCATGCCTAGCTGATAGGAAACTGGTTTAATTAAACATTTATGACCAATTTATAGTTCGTTGTTCTCAAAATATGCTACACTTTTGCGAATAGCCATGCGATCTTTGGCTTGAGCAAGTTTTATAAGTTGTTTATTGCATATGCTTGACAGCTTTTAGCTCATCCTGGAATTAGTCTGAGCTACCAATAATTATTGGCATTATAATTCATTCAATTTTCATACCATTTGATCTTTGTACATCATGTGATTTGTGGCTAAGGCCCTTGGTCATTAATATTTCGTATTTTTTTTGGTTTGTTTAATTTTATTGCCAAAACCAGTTCCATTTGCTGAAACTGTGTGGATGCTTTAAATTTGGGTCTGGCTATTGACGTGACTTCTTTAAATTAATTTGGGTGCCGCTTCTGACAGCTCCGTGAAGGTTGCGCACCTTTAGGCTATTGTCTTAGTTTATAAAAACAAGAATAGAAGAGAAGCGCCTTTAGGAAGCAAATGCTTAAATCACAATTTTTATGCTATATCAAAGGCGTTATTATACCCTGCAAACTTAGGTTTCTAATGGAAGGGTATCTACATAAGCTGTTTGTGATCTCAACTATTCTACATCCGATCTTTCTAAGCATTATAATTCGAGTCACATGAGACATCAGCTACAACATTTTCTTTTTATTTCTTAAGTTATCTAAAGCAATGAAAATTAAAATAAAAAAAAATAAATACAAGTTTGAAACAGAAGAAACTTATATTTAAAGAAACAAATAATAAAATATATATAATAAAAAATAAATTAAGACAAAAAGATGCATTTATTTGCAAAAATGTTTTGGATTTTTAAATCATAAGGAAATAAATAAAATAATCTACTGCATTTAGTTCTGATTTCCTCTGCATTGTTAAACGAGTCTCAAAGAACATAGAGACAATAGACTTTCCGGACTTCCGGCTTTTAGCTGAATAGAGATACGCCCACAAGAATTAAATATACCATTGACTAGCATTTAAACAGTTTATTGATCAGTTCCGAAAATGCAATAAATTTTGAATATAAATGCGGAAGTTACATCGCCAAATGAATATTATTTAAATAAAGAACATACTGAAACCAAATACCTCTTAACGCTCTGCGTGCTCATCTTCTTATAACTTGTTTCCCCATGCTTAGTATATAGTTGTACACACTCCCGGAACGCTTCATTATTCCTCACAGTAGGACCCATTATTTATGATGATATTTTAATTTGCTTATCCGGCAGTGTCTTTGGTCTGTGATGAGTTGTGTCGTGGAGTAAATTGCAACTACAAATTAAGTTTATCAGCCAGTATATCATGAGCATTGCTGTTTAATTTTTACGCTGTGTTTTCTGCGCTGTCCAAATATTGGGTAGTAGATTTATTATCTGGCGGGTTGGTCGGGGCAGAGTCTCTCTGCCCGCGGTTGGTTCATTCGCAGGCCAAGCGCAAACAAGAGACGCAAGTCAAACAGTCAGACAGTCAAACAGATTCATGGCCCAAGCGAATTAAAAAACTTGTTGTTAATGTTATGTGCAGCTACCAAATCTCAAATTTGAAAATTTCAGCGTTTTGTTTGCTTCCCATTTCTCAAACGAATCTCGTATGTAAATGTCGATCGTTTTGACGGCCAGCTTATGGGCAACGCTTGGCTTCCGTTGCAGATCTGCTCTCAGGTGTGTCCCACTTTTCTTATAGGCGGCCAGATGGCCACACAAAAAAACATACTTATAACAACTATTTCTCCGCTTGAACTCGGGCGCGTAACTAACACAATTATGGCTTAATTTGCCGCTCTTTTGTTTTAGTCATACCAAATTAACTAGTTATTCTTTTAAAGACATTTTTTTGAATATTTATGCATATTTTTATGGCTCGTTTGCCTAGCGCCACGAACCGAGGGCTAATTATACCTCAGCCATTGGCCTTGACTTTGAAATTTTAATTTTACCCAAACCTCTGTCCGGTAACTCTGTTTTTGTCATTTCCTTTTTGGGATTCTTATTCGCTTTCTTGGCCGTTTTGTTTTGGCAGTATGTTCATTAGCTGTAATTAAAGCTCGCTTATGAATTTATGTAAATGCTAATTCATGTTTACCATAATACATTAATTGAGTTTACACTGAGCCAGTTTGAAGCTACTGCGTTTCGTAAATCCACCTGCTGATTAGCTTCTTGCTATACTTTTGATCACATTCAGCGCTAATATTTGTGGTATTTAATTGTTTTCTCTATAATACGATCTGCCCATTGTACTCTGATTTGCTTAGTCTGCATCTTTGCATATAAATGAGTTATGATGTATATAGTTATAATTATGCTGATAAATACGGATGGCACATTATAATTAAGTTTACACAACACAAATGTCTACATTTTCGCTTCATTAGCACATGATGTCATCCATTTGGCCATCTTTTATACCCTTCACCTATCAAATGACTACAAACGGGGTATAATGTTATTTTTTGGCAATGTTTGTACAGGCAATTATAGACATTCCAAGCCTAAATAATATATTCTTCATCACCTTTCTGTCTGCCTCTTTGGTTAAGCGTATAGAGCATTCAAAAGAGAGCCTCAAAAGCAGCGCAACGTCAATTTCCTTGAAAGATCAATTAGTATTAGCCCTGATACTTTACAATTTTCTAAGGAAAGTGGATTTGATGTGAGTTGAACTGCTAAGGAATATAATTTATAATTTACAACGCAATTATTAAAATTATTAATAAATGGATGCAAAATTCTGAAAGTGTGTAAAGTCGAATATTAACTATTTGCTAGACACAAACACACGCACACACACATGCACACACTCATATGCGCAAAATCGTAAATCAGCTTAAGAGATGCAATAAAATTTGTAGTGCGTGCTGTGTGCGGTAGGTGGAGCCACCTGTCAAAAAGTGAGCCAGCCAACCAGATAAGCGCAAAATTCTTAATGAAACGACACGCATGCACAGTAAAATGTGCATTTGTCGATGCCCCGAAAGCAGCTACCCATATACGAGTGCAGTGGTATATAGATGTTATGTACGTACAGTTACAGTTAGTCAGAGTCTGGTCTTTTTAGCATTCAAAGCGACCCCCAAAAAAGAAATAACTAGAGCGGAGCAGAGTCGAAAACTTCAGACTCGAAACGAGTCGACGAAGTTGCCAGCTGCGAGGTGCACTGCACAAAGGCAAACGGAAATGAAATCACTTACCAGGGGCGTTGTCATTCACAATGAGTGCGGCACCAGGCAGGACAAGGAGTAGTTGATTGTTGTTGCAGTTGTTGTTGCTGTTGCTGTTGTTGCTGTTGTTGTTGTTGTAGTTGTCAGCAGAGTCGCGGCAGCTGCCATTTTGTTCTGTCGTTGTGTGTACGTCTAATGTCCAATTTCAATTTGGACTGGCTGGCTGACAGCAGCGGCAAAGGCAAAGCTACCGCAAATGGCAAACAATGCAAACACCCTCCATCCGCACGCTAAAATCCCACACTTCGAGCAAAAAAAATGAGCACATGTGTGAGAGTTGTGTCCCCCTAGTCTAGTATTTCACTTAAGTGTGGATACTTGTACAGATAGCTAAAGAGGCAGAGCGCGGTAGATGTTCTGCTGAAAGGTGGAGCGAGTATGCCCGCATAAGTTTATTTACTTTTAACACGAAATAATAAAGTTTACAAAAGAAAACGTGCGCCGTGCGGTATGCTGCATTTTTTCTATGAGTGTGTGCATGTGGCTGTGTGTGGTGTGTGTGTGTGTGTGTGTGTGTGTGTGTGTGTGTGTGTGTGTGTGTCGCTAACTGTACCTCGCACTTTCTTTCTGCCCATTTGCTGTCACAATTTAAGCGCTCAAAGCGAATATTTAACAAACTCCTGAGAGCCTCCAATTTGTGTTTAAAGGCCACAAGGTTTTTTCATACACTTTTCAGGTGATATTTTTGATATCATTGCTAACCAAACAAAAAAGGAAAATAGATTTATCAAAAATTTAGAAATATTTCTTAAGCTGCACAATGAAGATAATAATAAGACATAACAAAATATTAAAATAGGGTATATATTTTTGATCTAGGTAAACGTCTAAGCTTCTAAATTAGATAAATATATTTCGGAGGTTTTTACCAAAATTGGTATATTTAAAAATTTTGAAATAAATGGTTGGTAATCTGCACGTAACAGGGGAAAATCATATAACCTAAGGTAGAGTATTTAATGTTGTAGGTAGTTAAGAAAGGTGTATTTCAACGCATTGCAGTGAGACTCTCAACTTTTGTCACAGCACCGAAAAAAATGGTAGAAAAGTAGAAAAATTAGCGACATGCTGTGACGTGACTTGACTGCATGAGCCGCAACCACAGCTACCATACCCTGTAACTTTTCAGCCATGCCCTTTGTTTTTGCCGTGTGCCGCTGCTGTTAGCCATATGCTGGCGACAGGCTCTCATGGACAGCTTATGGATGCAGCCCGGCACTTACGGCCAACTGAATTATTTAAAAAGTCGCTAAGAGCAAAGCAACTGCGAATGTTGCTTTGTGCAATTAAATGCGTTCTCAGCTCGTACGCACACATGCGACAATCGTTAGAAGGTCCGCACAGAAGGTAATGATAATAATTATACAGACCGGGGGCCACATGTTTCGGTATGTGGTATATGGTATGTGGTCCGTGCGTGTGCGCCTAATTACAATAAATTTGGCTAATTATTGTCTGGCATTTGCGGCCCCTGTAAACTTTAAGTAGCGCTCGCAACAATATCGCACAGACAAAGTTTTTCCCATCGATATGGTCGAGAGCAGCCGCATCCAGAAGCGCAGCAGTAGCAAAGTTGGAGACTGAGGCCAACGTCTGGCTAATTGTCTTCTAAATTATGATAAGGAACTTTCACTCTCAACTTGAGAGCTGGTTAAAAGGGTCAGTTAGGTCACCTGCATATGGGAGGGACCAAAAAGTGTGCGCTGCTCGCAGTTGATTTGAGTGGCATTTTAAGGCGTGGCGCTTTGCTTGGGGTTGAGTAATAGAATTATATGATACTCATATATCCTATTTAATGCATGCAATTTACAGTACAGTTACGTATACCTATGATGGCAGAGTATAAGATATTTATAATTGTAATTATGCATAACTTATACTATATAATAATTGGGAGTCATGCCAAAGAGTTGCAAATTTTGAACAAAATTTAGTGCAGCAATTAAATAATACTTATACTTCATTTTACAAATAAGATAAGACATAACTTAGAATATTTGACATATACATTTTTATAAGTGTATTATTATATTCTTAATTATCAGATTATTCAAATTATTTATTATAATAAATTAGTTTCGAACTATACCAACCATTGATTGCTGTTGACAATTTTGAAGCAGAGTTGAGCAAGCGTAATACTTGAGTTCAGTATTTGCAATGTCGTGACATCTTAAGGCCCTCACAAAGTCATCAGATGGTATCTGTTATTACAATCCTCATCTGTCGTCGCAGATATTTTTAACAATCATTGCAAATCAAAACAAATGCCAAACGATTTGCTTTATGTGCAACTGCAGTGATTTGCCTAGGGAATGTGCCTGTCAAGCCTTTCATTTTTTATTGCCCCGCAGCGCCCAATACCATTGCCCAGCCCTCGAAATCCTTTGCCACTGTTGCAACATATGGGCGCTTCATAAAGTGGGCGCTTCTCCTTGCTTCGCTCTACTCTCCGCCTTGGCCCCTGCCGCGTTGCAAGTAGCGAAATGCAGTCAACTCGTGCGCCAGCTGAGCGCGCAATTTAGCACAACAATGCGATACGTATACGCCCCGTTGTAGCCCCTTAGTAAGTCATGTGTTGGCATGTCTTCTGCTGGGCTAGCTGGCTGGCTGGCTGCTACTGCCATTTAGAAATGCTTTTGTCTTGGCTTCGGTCCCGGTTCCACGCTGCCAGCGAGTGCCGTTTGTTTTTTGTCTTGCCAAATGCGCCATATTTCTGAGTTTATGTCTTCGTTTTCTAGCAAATATTTCCACAGACCGACAGTTGGAGCAAGGGGGGGTAGACTGTAATGCATATGTTCGGCCTGTCGTCGTTTTGTTTTATTGCATATTTATATTTTATAGCGAAAGTAGCAAAATATACGAGTAAATCGTTATAACGCTCGCCCGACCCCCTGTCGAAGCCTGCTAGAGGGGGCTCCATGATTCGCTACTACAGCACAATTCTTGGCCTTTTTGGCAAGCATTCGATAAAAGTACTCAAACATAAGCTCTGCCAGCGGCACATGTGCCCCAAACATACACACACAAACACGCACACGTACACACACTAGTCAACTTGGGACCGGGTAGTCCTTGCATTAAGTTCTCGTTGCGCTTTTTGGGGCGTTTTTGGATGCGCCACAAAATTCAATCATAAAAGTTTTTCAATAATCCGCTTTGCCTCGATTGCATTTCAATTTGCGCAACATTTTTGTGCAAAAACTTAATTTTCCACCAATTCGTTTTTTGGGCTGTTCGATCGAAGGGCGGAAGGGTGTGGCCAAACGTAATTGATGTGTGCGTCCCCCGCAAAAAAAATTGATAAGGAAATTTTAGCGGGAGTCGGTGGAAGCATAAGCTCGACAGCGCAATTGAGTAGAAATTAAAACTGATTCCGTACCAAACAAAATCATGTGTGTGTCAAAAGAACTGGTAAGCTTCAAAGGCGTGAAATTGTGCAGATGGGCAGAGGAAATGAAGCCTAATA